TAAGGGGTGCAGCGTACGAGCTGAAGCCGAAGCCCTTTGAGTAACCTCTCCCTTGAGCATGACCTTAACAATGACAAACTTCACATCTCCTTGTTGGTTGATGTCGTGGTTCAGAAAACCATTGACACTCTCTCCGATCCCACTCTACCTCTCCCTATGAAGACTGCACTTTCTGACTGGACCTTCTCCAATAATATTCTCACCTTCAAAGGCCGTACTTATGTTCCACCTGGACCCCTGCAGAGAGAACTCATTTCCCTTCCTACTGCTGGACATCCTGGCCGTTTTAAAATGCAAGAACTTTTGTCTTGTGACTATTGGTGGCCAGGTCTTCTCACCTTCGTGCATAAATACATTGAAGGCTGCACTGTTTGTCAACAAAATAAAGTCAATACTCACCCTACTGTTCCCCCTCTCTTTCCTATTCCTGCCCCCACGTCTTCCTGCCCCTTTGCACAATGCTCCATGGACCTCATTGTCGATTTGCCTCCGTCCAATGGCTTTGATTCTATCATGGTCGTGGTAGACCATGGGCTTACAAAGGGGGTGGTACTCACGCCTTGCAACAAGACAATCAATGCAGAAGGAGTTGCAGACATATTCTTCAAACGTGTCTACACGCGGTTCAGCCTCTATGATAAAATCATCTCTGACAGAGGACCCCAATTTGCAGCCAAATTTGCACAGGAATTAGGAAGACTCTTGGGATACAAAATCGCCCTCTCAACTGCATTTCATCCTCAGACCAATGGAGAAACAGAACAAGTAATATCTTCGCATTTTCTGTGCAAATGATCAGACTTCGTGGTCAGACAAACTTCCCATGGCAGAGTTCGTACACAACTCTCACCACCATTCCGCACGAAATGCTTCACCATTCTATCTAATGATGAGATATCATCCACAAGCTCTACAATTGGCTACCAAAAAATCGGATCTTCCAGCCATAGAAGCAAGAATATCAGAACTCCAGAAGGCCAGAGAAGAAGCCCTATCCTCTCATGAACTTGCCAGACAAACCATGAGGCAAAGAATCACTGATCATTCACACCTTTCAAGAAAAGCAATAAAGTTTGGCTAGAAGCAAAGAACCTTCATCTTAACTACCCAAATAGGAAACTAGCACCCAAACGAGAGGGACCTTTCACTATCTCGGAAGTTCTCGGACCAGTCACATATCATCTAAAACTCCTGAACCAATGGTGTGTTCATCCGGTATTCCACACAGCACTTCTAACCCCTTATCGTGAAAATGAAGAACACGGTCCCAATTTCCCATCGCCACCTCCTGACCTTATCGATGGAGAAGAAGAATATGAGGTAGAAGCTATCCTCAGACATAAAGGAACTCTCTCACGACGACGCTTCCTTGTCAAATGGAAGGGTTATCCATCAGCCGACAATGAATGGTTGTTGGAGTCTGATTTAGCCAACTCCACTGAAATCTTGAATAGATATAAGCAGGCACATCGACTCATTCCTCTCTCAACTCGAACCATCATCACTAAACCATTCAGACAATGCCCTCTACCAGTGGACGTAACTATGTCTCCTCCAGCGCTGAAGATATAAACCTCGTCATCACGCACAACAGCACCCCCAATGTTCCTATTCCGAATCTTTGCTTCCCTGTCTTCTCCCCTCGTCCTCATTATATGACTATCAGTCAATGAAACTCACCTGAGGTACCACCTCAGGAATCTCCATTCCAATACATTAGCTTGCCTATGCCACCCCCATTACCATTTCATGAACTTGTTGATCAGACATTCATCGACACTCCTGCTAATCCCACTACAATTAGACGTCGTGAGCATGTTGCAGCTCGTCATAGAGCAGCCCCTTGGAGAGTTGCAACTGACCCCTACTTGTCCGATATTGAAGATCATAGACTTCGCCATAGGATTATGTTGTCATCACAACTCTTCAAGAATCCTATTAAAGATGCCATTGACACCAAGCCCACACTCAATGCCCTCTACGACCTCTACCATCTCAGAGATCGTCTCGAATATACCTTAGAAAGGTATAATGGCGAACGCAGAGAAGACGAGCTTTTCTCTCTCGACTATAGCATCAGAGACATCAAGGAGAAACTCCAACAGCTGACGTTGATCATCATGGAAGAACATGGCTTCTTCGAAGCTTTAGGAGGTCTTGGAGGAACAGAGGATGACCGACGACGTGGTCTTTGATGAAAGTCTGGGACTTTCCATGTAAGAAGGGGGTGATGTTATGGCTGTGTTGTTCTATGAACTTCTTTTCTTCTTTCCCTTGATCCATGCTGACTATGCATGACTCTTATCAATCTATATTTAGTTCAGTATGACTCAGATGCCTCATTGCTTACACATGTAGCTTACTGATCATTACCTATTATTATGTCATACCCTGTACCCTGTTTACTATATAAACCCTGGCTAGGTGACGCTGATTCTTCAGCTTAACCTACACTGGTTTTCCTCTGATCACTCTGACTTGATTCTAAGTTACCTCTTCGGTACTTAGCCTTTACTTGAACTTGGGCGTTCTTTAGACAGTTGTCTAACTCTGTACAAGTGCAGGTGGGACGACCAGGCTTGCCCTTGGTGGCCATTATCGCGACGTCAGACGACTTCTCACTGTCGAGGAGCTGCTGCTCAACATCAAGACAGGCTCGAATATTGGAGGGCCCATAGGGCGACAAGGACGTACTGGTAGCCAGGGAATCGGTGATGTGGTTGCGAACATGCGGTAGGTCTTCGCTCATAGCATTGAGCATGAGGATCATCAAGAAGTCCTCTTTTGGCAAACCAATTGCACATATGCGTCAGACTAGCTCGGTGAGATGCATACTGGTAGTAGAGAGGCGCTCTGAGCACTTGTGTTTGACTGTGAGGCCCTGTTGGATCAAGATGATCTGGGCGATGGGTCCAACTTTTTGTGACATGATTTCAGCGCATTCCACGCGAGGTGAGCATTAGTGAAAGAGCATAGGAAGTCTTGCTCCTCAGTGCTAGAGCAGGTGCAGAGAGCCGCTATGATACAGAGATTATTAAGGTCCCAAACGCTAGCTCCAGTGGGGTTGATAAGACTGTCCAGATGTTGAATGATCCCAAGGATGTATCTGCCACTGTGCTTGAGCAACAGATAGTTCTGCAGTTTGTCAGACCAACCTCCCCAGTTGTTCTTACTGCACTCGAGAAGTTCGATCTTCTCGAGGTCTGTCTGACTCAAGGTAATGGTGCTGAAGGAAGAAGGCATTGTCAATGTTAGAGTAGTTGGTGTAATGTTTGTATTTGGAACAGGCAGTACTATAATAGTGGGGGGTTTCTTGGTGGTGCTCATTGGCGTCAAGGTAGAACTCGATGAGACAGAGGATATTGGCTCTTTGGTTCGAACTTTCCGACGTGGGATTGTGACCATGTGTGAGCAGGCATACCACAAAGTGATGGTACAAGTAAGAGAGGAATGGGAATATAAACACGATAGGTTCCCTATATATATATATGAGTGCGTATGCTTATCAGCAAGATGCTTCCTGCCCAAAGAGGAAGTAGGAGTGACGTTCGAGGACGCTGGCCTTAAATAGCGTGATAACGCTGCACGCCATACGCAGCGTGTGTGTTACATCAATAAGTCGAGACTTAATGATGTCTAGAAAGTTTCCATGCTCTCGTTTACGAGGGCACAGGGCTCATAACCTGTTAAATCTAGACACAGTTAGATCCTCAGTCATGTGCATAACAGACTGAGATTGCTATGTACCTAGACACAGTTAGATCTATCATAGGTAGATTATTAGTGTCCATACATAGTTGGGAGAGAAAATAGATAAAATGTACCCTCAGTCGTGTGCGTGACAGACTGAGGGAAAAGGGAAAATGAACATGAACCACTATATATAATTTTGGTTGGCATTCTGCGGCATTGCACTCGTCACGTGCATGTAACGTGTGCTAACATAGTAAGTGTACAACAGATCAAAGAAATGAAGTCGGAAATGAAGTGCAGATGGACAGATCAGTAAGCAAGGTGGAAAGGTGTGCAACTGGTAGCTGGAGAGGAGTAATCTAAAAGGAGATAGGTGTGAGTCCAGAGATGAAAATGGAGTGCCAGATGGAGAACAGGACAGAAACCTGGACTTTCATAGGGGAGAGTCTGGAATTCCGGGTATGGAGGTATGGGATATGACAGCCTGAAAGCCTACCTTTTGCCTCCATAAACTGCTGCCTGAGGTGGGAACACATGAATTCTCAAGTGTTGCATCCTTAAAGAGGGCAACAATGAAGTGGATGGTCAAGATGAAGACACTGCTAATTCCTCGGATGAATATGGAGGCCAGTAATGAAGAGAACCCCATTCCTCTGAAGTCTCAACAATTCCCTGTGCGACTTGCATTTGCATTTGCAATGACAATCAACAAGGCTCAAGGTCAGAGTGTGAAGTGGGTTGGTCTCAATTTGAGGACAACTGTTTTCAGTCATGGACAGCTGTACGTGGGTTTGTCTCAGTGCACTCACCCATGAAGAGTATTTGTGATTTTCCCTGAAGATGAAGAAAGAAAGACAAGCAATGTAGCATACACAGAGGTAGTTAGAAGACTGATTGAAGATTGATGTACAATAGATTGTATAGATGTGTATGTTTGATATGACAAAGATTTGTTTATTGAAATTGTGTTGACCACTATGGTGAAATGATGAAGACTGGAGGTGCCAAAGGCACAACAGGCTTGGACTCGTAAGCATTCCAAGTGGCTTGTAAACGAAAAAAAAAACCAATGCCAGCTGACACTGTTGACTCCATGTGCACTACACAGAATATGCATCTCCCACCCCTCCCCCCCATCCCTTCTCCCCTACCTTATAGATGGTAGTCTGAACAGGGTGGTGGCTCCATAGTGCTCATGCCATTTACATCACATATGACTGTGTAGTCCGGGTGTCCTCACCATCCCTACATTACTATACATATACTAGATGCCAGGAAGCACAGGATTCAACTTCTTTCTTCCAGCCTCAACAAGTGCCACTCCGCTTCTCATCTTGTCTCTTGCAATCTTGTCCCTTGTTGCCGGAGGCGGGACCGTCCTCGTTCTGAAGTGGGTCGCACGGGTAGAGAGACTCGCTGTTACGGGAGCTTGATTGCCTTTCGTCATGTGTCACAGGGACAAGTGGCTCGTCCTTCGTCTTTTCAAATTCGGACGGGAGTAGAATTGCCCGGTCGATGGCCACAGGGAGACCACGATGTCGACCGCGAAGCATGACGAGGCAGAAAATGAGCTTTGAAAGAGGTTTTAAGGCACCAGAAAACGAGTAATTTTCCTACCAGAGAAGATAAAAATACTTCGATAGTATCACAGCATCTCGGTCACTCACGGTAGGTATCCCGAGACTGAGACCAACAGTGCCGTATGCTGAGACTAATTCAAAAACTAGCCGAAATTGAGCAAAACAGTGACTCGACATGATGGGAACATACTGATGGTGAATATATTGAACCATCCCTGTATCTCCGTGTTGTCCAAGTTTCCACGCTATCATGAGGCATGTTATTAGAACCGCTGTGACCCCCGTCATCGCGCTGCTTACCTCTATGATACAAACCAACACCAGCGCCTATGTCAGACAAAGTCAGTTTACTCCCCCAGTGACCGCAGAAGCTTACCAGACACAACCACCACATGTCTTGGTAGCTGGGTGAGACAAATCACTAGACAACGAACCAATATCACATACCGAATGACAATTGTCGACGTGCATGCATAGCCAAGTACCGAGACCACACCGTCATCCTTGGACCTGCGGTTGAAAAGGCAATCTCGTCCTCCGAGTAGTTATCGTTCTTGTATATACCCAGGGATTGCTCTTCGTAGACGTTTGTCGAGCGGACACTAGATTAATAAACATCAGAATTGTCTATGACATCCGCACGTCTGCCAAGGTGAACGCACCTTAGGGCAATGGGGTCTCGAAGGGCAGTCATTTTAATGTGCATCACCAAGAATATCAAGGTACTTACATGCGCTAATATACATCATGATAACATACATGACTCTGTTTCCTCAAAGTGAGTACCTGTGCCAGATGACAATTTCTCAACCTAACTTGACCGCGGGAGCTATTCTGGCGAGTGGAACTATACCGAATCCCGCAGTACGAACAGCGATTGCCTGCAATAGTCCAGCGACAAGTCTCGTTCCTAATGGTATGGAATCGATGTCAGGATTTCCAATGTCGAGGACCATAAAGCAGAACCAGTCTGTGAGACTGCATTGCTAAGTTCAGCGTGCGACCATAGAGATGGGAAGTGCGTACTTCATGATGACCAGAATCGTAAACAGAAACCAAGTCTGATACGAAGGGAAAAGATAAACAAAGCATCGACGGGGATGGTCCAAGAGGAAATGGAGCGTTTCATGCAATTGAGAGTTTCTCGGTACCAGTTTCGTGATTATCCAACTTTCTAAGGTGAACGGCGAGTTTGTGAAACAGATAGCATACTTACATGAGAAAACGGAGCCTTCAGGGTTTTTGTGAGTTAAAACTGCCATGTAATCCAGGTTGCAAACTCACAGTATAGGCTAACGCTCATCAAATATTATTATGTTATTAAAAATGAGTTCATTGGCACTCACAAAAGCAGTGTTGCCAGCCAAAATGCAAACCATCATAAAAAAGATCACTTACCCAAGAAAATATCAGCATTATGCAGTGCATATGATACATGATACTCACTCGGATAGGCCGTCTGGAAGGGTATCATGTTCTGGTCAACAAGAGAAGTTCCGGTATTGGCGTATGCTGATACGACTTGGAAGAGTGAAAACCTATACCAGGTTCTGTTAGCTGACGTCTTGTTAGCATTGTAAGACATTGTTCACCAAGGGACCGTGACTTTTCTAAATAGCGCAGGAGGTTCGAAATCACTCGCCCACTTTGGCATTGACATGTAAGGAACGATCACCACGAAAGAAACCAATTGAATGGCTATGTGATACTACGGAGATCATTTGAGCCAATGAGGACAACTTAAAAAACGAGATCACTAACGGACGCGACCAACCATAGCAGTGCGTTGAGGGCCCGGTATTCAACTCCACCCAACTCCTCAAGCTGTTCATTCGTCGATACATGGAACGCAGAATTCCGTCCGACGACTGCGTCAAACGAGATATACGTTACAGGCTTGGTGCCCTCCACGGCACTAATGCTTCCACCACGTATTGGTCTCCTAGGGGTACTCGCAGCACCACTCATAGTCCGTCCCAGCCCACCGCCCGTCAGTGTAGTAGTAACAGGAATTGTCGTGGTTCTCTCCAGTCCGTTTCTGGCATGAGGAAACAGCCAACCAAATAGCATCCCCAGCAGCTCGTGCGGCATCGGGAACCCCCCGAACCCTCGTAGCATCTGCTCCTGCGGTTGATCAACATGATTGAAGGCATGCGGTGGATATAGGCTCGATGTGCGCCTAGATTCGTTAGATCTATGTGTTTGAGTGGTTGGGCGCTGTGCCATTGGCACGTGCGAATATTGAGGCACTGCGGAAGAGCGGCGGAGGCGAGGACGCGACGAGGAGAACCCTGAATGTGAAAAATCTGATAAAATTTCAGCGGAGGGGGAATCTGAGCGACCGGTCCGGCTACCGACAGGAAAGAGGGGGTGATAAGAACGAGAAACAGTGGGTGCAAATTCGACAGTCGCTGTCCGTGGCATTCCAGTCGATGCAGCTGATGTTGTAGCACCCCGACTCGCTTCAGGCAGGTGTGAACCAGTCGTCGGTTCTGACGCACCAGCTATAAAATCACGAGACATTAGATGAATGCTGTCTTTCATAGTAAATATGCTGACAATGGAATTCTCCAGGGCTTCCTGTATCGGAGAGACGGCGTGCACGTCCACTGATGTAGAACAGATGTCAGGGTCACTAAAGCCAAAAGATAGTAGCGTGAATGCCTACGAGGTGCTTCTCTCCAGATCTATAGAACCCGCGTTGACAGTTTCTACATGTAGGTTCTTCACCTCGACATCACCGTCCAATTCAAGCTGCTCCGGAGTATGGGTCCTTTCACCAGCGAACGCTAATTGGTGAGAAGAGGACGTTGGTTCTTCCACAGGCCTAACTGAACTCGTTGCACTTGGTCTCAATGAAAAACGCTTCATGGGCATCGCACCGCTTTCAGTCATCCACCCGCTCGGGTTGGCCAATTTGGGTGGTATATCCATGCCCCTGATCATATCAGGCCTCAATCTCCTTGCACTATTCTTCGGTGTCGTTCGAGCATCGTCACTAGCAGAATCCTCCGGTACCGTACTAAGGCCGGTTTTCCGGCGAAAGAAACGACGGGACCATCCGCCTTGGCTGCGGGTAGACTTCCCTGCAGACGCAGTGGCAAGCTGCTGCTCCACCTTGATTGCAGCTTGTCGGGCAGCCTCTACTTCAATAATGTGATCAAATCTCCTAGCAAAATAGTGCCTGTAAAATGATGAGTATATCATCGACACAAACCATGTAAAATATCGACCTCCTGGTGTACACCATCACCCACGACACTATAACCTTGAGTCAAAGTTAGAGAAGTATCAGATCCTACCTAAAGTTAAGGAACGCACTGGATTTCCAATACACATCTGGATGAACAGCAACACTTGCTGCCAAGCAGTAAGCTGACTCAAGTTCACAGTCGCCAGCCCACACATGGTGATCGCGCTGACCGAGTTGAATAGCGCATCGATGTATGCAACTGGGTATCTGCCATTACTGGCATAAAAGATTCCGGAGAATATCAGGGGAGTCACAGTACTAAACGACAACGAGAGATGTCGTCAGATTCCGTGATATGGCAGATAGCGGCGTTAACTTTGCAGGCTCACAAGAAGATGACATGTATCCGGAAAAAGTTGAGATGCGTCCTGATGGTTTGCCACACGCCGTGTTCTGAAGATGATGACGAGACCTGCATCGGCATTTCCGGTGGAGTCGCGCGTCGCAGGCGAACTTTCTAGGAGGGAGAAAGAGTCTAAGTCCGAGTCAACCGGCAATAGAACGTCACAGTCATGGTCAGGAGGTTCTGCCTCACTGGGGAGTCCGCATGCTCAAACAAGCTCATGGCATGCTGATTAGTAAGCGCTCAGTGGCGAACCGTCAACTGAAATGTATTGAGCTGGTACAAAGCTGGTAAGTATCTGATGCAAGTTGATGTACTGCTACTTAGCTGCAGCCTATGCAGTTGTAAACGATGACAAAAAATAAGAGGACAGAAAAAGTGCCGTGCGGTGTACATATATTAATTGCAGAACACCAAGAACGAATCAGAAAACGAAAAAAGAAGAATATGCAGGATCCGAAATGCCAGAGGTGAAAGAAAAATGTATCGAAAAACGTGGACGCTGCATGCGAGTGCAATGGAGCAGATCAAGCAACGAGGGAGACTAGCTTGTCGCTATCCTCGAGCTTAGAAGCGATCCGTCGAAGCCGCTCTGGCTCCTTCTCGAATCCAGCACCCCTGAGCATCACGGCCATATAGTCAAACGCCTTGGGAGCATCGATAGCAATATCGTCCAAAAACTCAGCCATCGGCATGAATCCCTCCTCAAATACCTCAAACGAGCATTGTCCATTGCTCGTAGCCTGTGCAAATAAATCGCCCACCAACCTCGCATCCGCCTCTTTGCTCTCGAGCGCGGACGCAACCAGCTTGTCCACGAGTCGGAAGCGATGCTCGTGAGGAAGATTGGTAAAGTATACGTCGGCCTCTCCAAGACTGCGAACAGCGAAGAACTCCTTGACGTCTTCATCGATCTTCTTCTTGGCGTCTGCTTCTGACATGGCAGTGGGTGCACTGTCAGCGTCAGGCTCATCCTCCGACGGAGTCGTCGTGTTCTCTTCAGCAGGCTTGGATCGTGGAAGAAGCTGCAGTTTCCTGCGTTGTAAAGCGGGCTCAGGAGCACCAGCATGACCAAGATCAACGCTCGACTTCCGACTCGACGGACGACCGGGCTTAGCAGCAGCCTCAGGCGTGAGTTCAAGGTTCTGGCTGAGCATGTAGAACATATTCGAGCTCGAATTCGTCCGTGATAGCGCCTCCCGCTTGCCGCCCGCAAAGACGCTGCCGAACTGTGAGAGACCACCAAACTTGGAAGGCGCCCGCGGGACCGAGGCGCCTGCGAAGACGCTACTTGGACCCAGGACCATGGGCAAACCCTTGTTAATCTTGCCAAATTGTGGCTGATCACCAAACTTGGAAGGCGCCCGCGGGACCAACGCGCTTGCAACAGTAGCACGCCCGCCACCATAATCACCACGGGACATGTTCATCTGACGGTTGTAAGACACCTTCGCAGTTTCTTTCTCCTTGGCTGTCTGGAACATGAGCGTAAATGAAATAATTTTGCACGACAATGTCAATCCGTCTTACCGTCTCACGAGCGGCAGTGATCGCAGCAACAGCATTGCGGCTGACCCACTTACGGTCACGCAGCTCAATGACGTCCTACCCCACAACGATGAGCAAAAAAATAAAGAAACTCAAATCTTCACACACCAGAAGCATGAACTGCATCCTCGCGCTAACATTGAGGCTCTTCCGCAACTCCTTCATGCGCGTGAAATAAGCATCCATATGCGCACGCGCCTTCGGCGTATCCAGCAACTGTCCAACCGTCTTCAACAACTGGCATAAGCTCTCAAGCTCCTCTTCCTCGAGGTTCTCGACATTGCCTAAGAGCTTCTTCACACACTCGTGCATGATACGCTCCGTGAGCATCTGCAGCTTGAACAGCTCGCCGATAAACTTGATGAGACCGAGACCCTGGCGCTTGGCTTTCTGAGCAGCATAGTACTCTTCCGAATAGAGCTCAGCTTCCTGAGTGTCCTTCTTCTTGGTCGCAGCCTTCCTCAGTTGGTCATCAGAAGCCTTGGCCAAGGCGGCAGCAGCAGTAGCCTCCTTGGCGAACCACCCGCGCTCAAAGTCCTCTTGACACCGGTTAAGAAGATACTTCCGGAAGAGATAGCCACCAGCAATGGGTTTCCTCTCCGTATTCTTGATCCCATCATCCTGCACCTCCGGACTGATCTGCTCCATCATCTTCCGACACAACCGTGCATACACCTCGTTCCAAGCAGCTTCATCAATCGCTTTCTCAAATACAAGTCGGATGACTTGGATGAGCGTCCGCCCGTCTTTCTCGTTCACGCTCTTGTTCGCCCAGTGGATGATTTGATCTGAAAGGGAGTCGAATCTCGCTATCGTAAGCTTGTTGAGCAGCGCCTTGACTTTACGGTCCACCATCTCAGGTGAATCAGGGTGAGGTCGCCATTTGAGAGGAATCCTACTCATGGGGATCCAACGGACCCAACGGTTGGCAGACATATCGAGAGGCTGCGGATTAGCGCCCGACATCGTGATAGGTGCAGTGATTCAAGAGCACAGCCGTCCATGACTAGATCAATACAGCTCCTTATAACTTGGTGGGCGCAGCCGATATACCCAGGTCCCAAAATAATGAGGAAGACGATCGAATTTACAAGACGAGCTTAAACACACATGGCGATTAGTAAGCGACGAACCGTCGTCAACTGAAATGCATTGCTTGTACCTGATGTACTGCTAGCTGTAGCCTATGCCGCCATGTAGTGAACGATAACAAAAAAGAACAGGACAAGCGCAAAAAGTGCCGTGCGATGTACATATATTAGTTGCAGAACACCAAGAACGTGCGCAATACGATCATAAAACGAAAACGAAAAAAGAATATGCAGGGATGCGAGATGCGAGAGTAAGGTAAAAGAACAAATGTATCGAAAAACGGCTAGTGGGAGTGGGATGGTGTGCATTAAGCTACAAGAGAGACTAGCTTGTCGCTATCCTCGAGCTTAGAAGCAATCCGTCGAAGCCGCTCTGGCTCCTTCTCGAATCCAGCACCCCTGAGCATCACGGCCATATAGTCAAACGCCTTGGGAGCATCGATAGCAATATCGTCCAAAAACTCAGCCATCGGCATGAATCCCTCCTCAAATACCTCAAACGAGCATTGTCCATTGCTCGTAGCCTGCGCAAAGAAATCGCCCACCAACCTCGCATCCGCCTCTTTGCTCTCAAGTGCGGACGCAACCAACTTGTCTACGAGTCGGAAGCGATGCTCGTGAGGAAGATTGGTAAAGTATACGTCGGCCTCTTCAAGATTGCGAACAGCGAAGAACTCCTTGACATCTTCATCGATCTTCTTCTTGGCGTCTGCTTCTGACATGGCAATGGGTGCACTGTCAGGTTCGTCCTCTGATGGAGTCGTCGTGTTCTCTTCAGCAGGCTTGGTCCGTGGAAGAAGCTGCAGTTTCCTGCGTTGCAAAGTGGGTTCAGGAGCACCAGCATGACCAAGGTCAACGCTCGGCTTCCGACTTGACGGACGACTGGGCTTGACAGCAGCCTCAGGCGTGAGTTCAGGGTTGTGGCTGAGCATGTGGAACATATTCGAACTCGAATTCGTCCGTGATAGCGTCTCCCGCTTGCTGTCCTTCTTGCCGCCTGCGAAGACACTACTTGGACCCATGACCATGGCTCCCGGAGCGCCCTTGCTGATCTTGCCGAACTGTGAGAGATCACCAGCTTTGGGAGGTGCTCGTGGAATAGAGCCGCCTGCAACTGCCCAACCATCTGGCCCATGCTCTTGGTTGCGGTCGCCGCCGCGTCGAGAACCACCACGAGACATGCTTATTTGGCGGTTGTAAGACTCCTTCTCCGCAAGTGCTTTCTCCTTGGCAGCCTGTAACACCAGCATCAATAAAACGGTTCAATAGGACAACGTCAACCCATCTCACCAACTCGTGAACAGCCGCAATTGTCGTAGGAGCAGCAACAGCATTGCGACTGACCCATTTCCGGTCACGCAACTCAATGACGTCCTACCCCACAATCATGAGCACCACAAACAAAACAAAATAAAATCACCACACACCTGAAGCATGAACTGCATCCTCGAGCTAACATTAAGGCTCTTACCCAACTCCTTCATGCGCGTGAAATAAACATCCATATGCGCACGCGCCTTCGGCGTATCCAGCAACTGTCCAACCGTCTTCAACAACTGACACAAGCTCTCAATCTCCTCTTCCTCGGGGTTCTCGACGTTGCCCAAGAGCTTCTTCACACACTCGTGCATGATACGCTCCGTGAGCATCTGCAGCTTGAACAGCTCGCCGATAAACTTGATGAGACCGAGACCCTGGCGCTTAGCTTTCTGAGCGGCGTAGTACTCCTCCGAATAGAGCTCAGCTTCCTCCGTGTCCTTCTTCTCGTTGGCAGCTTTCCGAGCTTGGTCGTCAGAAGCCTTGGCCAAGGCGGCAGCAGCAGTAGCCTCCTTGGCGAACCACCCGCGCTCAAAGTCCTCTTGACACCGGTTAAGAAGATACTTCCGGAAAAGTTGACCGCCAGCAATAGGTTTCCCCTCCGTATTCTTGATTCCATCATCCTGCACCTCCGGACTGATCTGCTCCATCATCTTCCGACACAATCGCGCATACATCTCGCTCCAAGCAGCTTCGTCAGTCGCTTTCTCAAATACAAGCCGGATGACTTGGATGAGCGTCCGCCCGTCTTTCTCGTTCACGCTCTTGTTCGCCCAATGGATGATCTGGTCTGAAATAGAGTCGAATCTCTCCATCGTAAGTTTGTTGAGCAGCGCCTTGACTTTACGGTCCACCATCTCAGGTGAGTCAGCTTCAGGTACAACCTTGCGCGCCGTACTCGCGGGGACCCAACGGTTGGCAGATAATTCGAGGGGTACGACGGGTTCGAAGCCTGCGCCCAGTATAGGTGCGACGTTGGATGATCCAAAGCCTGAACCGTGTCCTTGCTGGGACATCGTCGATTTGTTAGCATCTCCTCGCTTCTCACCACGTTTACTGCGCACCCGGTTGTTGCCCATGGGATGACCAGGGCCACCCTGGCTGGACGTGCGCACCATCGGGGAGCGGTTGAATTGAAGAGCAGTCGCGCTGCTTGTTGATGCCGAACGGACGTTGGACTGGGCAAAACGCTCCTCGCTCGTAAGCTTGCTTCCTCCCGGGGACTGGAAGTTGCCCATTTGGAAAGGACTTGGCATGGAGGGTTTCTGGAAACCGCCGATGCCTAGACCTACAGAAGCCTGACGGGTGGCTGAGGGGGGCATTGCGCCAGAGGCATTGCGATGACGTCCAGAACCACCACGGGCCATGGCAAAGGAGGACTGATCGACAGGTTCGATGCCAAGGACATCGAGAGCAGGAAGGGTGGGTGGCTTCTCCTTGCAGATGTGCATGAATTGCATGAGGAAATCACGATCGTATCTATATGAAAACATGGATGAGAAACTGCAAGTGAGAGAGGTAAAATCACACACCTGAATCGGCCATCCCTGACGTTCGCATTAAGCTCAACCTTGGGACTCTTGATGCCCTCAGGATATGCCACCTCACTAAGATTCTCGATGACACGTGCGGTGAGGAGTGCAGAGGCGGGAGGCGCGGAAATATCTCTCTTCACTGAAGCAAGGTCGAGGGGACCAGGACGTCTTCGAGGAATCTCACTAGGAGGGGGCATCGCCGAGGTATCTATCCGAAGTGCCTCCTTCAATTTCTTCGCACTATCGCCATTGAGCTGAGGTTCAGCAACTTCTCCAGGCTCAGACACCTCGCCGTCCTCGGGATCTTGAGACTCGCTGACAGGTGACGAAGTCTCAACGATATCATTAGCTTCGTCAGCTTCAAGTTGAGCTTCCTCTGCCGCAAGAGCATCCTGCTGTCTCCGTTCTTCCTCTTCCCGTGCAACACGTGCCTTCTCCTCTTCCTCCTTCCGCTCAGCCTCAAGACGTTCTTCTTCCTCCTTGCGTAGACGCTCCTTCTCCTTCTCTTCCTCCTCAGCTTTCCGTATCCGCTCCTTTTCTTCTTCCTCTTTGCGTATCCGATCCTCCTCAATCTTCCTCTTACGAGCAGCCTCTTCTTCCTCCTTCCGCCTAGCCTCTTCCTCCTCTTCACGTTTCTTCTTCTCTACAGCCTCCTTCTTCGCACGCTCCTCAGCCTCCTTCTTCTCCTGCTCCTTCCGTGCAGCCTCCTCACGCAAGCGCTTCGAATCCTCGCTCTCAATCCGAACCGAAACCGAAGTTTGCCGTCGGCTGCTCACAACAGGAGACGCAGGGGGGATGGGGACTAAGGGCGGTTGGGGACTGTGCTTCTTGAGCGCATCGAGCGTCACTTCCATGCCATCCTGACTTTTGATGGTGACTTTGGCTGATGGACGCCCGAGAGGGACAAAGGCGCTGGCGTTCGTGTTAAGACGGGGTGCGTTGGCGGTAGAGGGTGTGGGTGGTGGAGATGATACAGAGGGAGGCGGTTGAGGAGTATGAGGGGGATGCGGGACAGCGTGTGCCATGGTAGGTGTACCAGGAAGTTGGGGGGCTGCGGGGCGAGGTGACATGGGAAGAGGTGGGCCGGGTTGATGGGGAGGAGGGGCATGAGGGACATGTTGTTGGTGAGGTTGTTGGTGCATATGTTGAGAGGGCATGGCATAATACCCCCAAGGAGGTTGTTGTTGATACGGGTCCATATACTTGAATCACGTTAGAAATTTGAAAAAGAAAACAATAATAGAGCACTCACATAGTATCCGCCCCATTGCATGGGCTGCATAGGAGCTACACCTCCAGGAGGGGCTTGATGTGGGTGGGGAGCCATGCGAGGGCTGGCAGGGATATTAGGGCCACCGGGACCCCCCGGCCCAGGACCGGGTCTGGATTGGGCTTGCATATTTGGCACAGCACGGGGAAATGCAGGCGAACGTGGTGTGCCAGCAGGCTGCTGTGATTGACGCATACCAGGCACGAATGGAGTAAAAGAATGTGCGCCCAGTTGGGAAGGTTGCGGGGGCGGCTGTGACGAAGATGACGACTGGTGATGTGGAGGGAGGTTAGAGTGTCGCGTGGAAGGAGAAGCCATGTCGGAGGGAGGTTGGGAAGACGATGAGGGATTCTGGAAAAGCTTTGCAATATCTGCTTTACTCGGTTTGGGGGTGGATGCGGTTGATGTTGAGGGAGGAGTGGTAGAGTTTGAGGGAGTGGATGATAAAGCGGGTCTTGCAGGCTTCGATGACCCTGCGGTCGATGCGGAAGCAGGAGTTTTTCCATTGACATGGTTTGAAGAGGTAGCTGGTACGGATCCGAAAGACTTTACGACTTCGGTTTTTACGGCGGGAATGGCGGCCGGTGATGAAGATACTGGGGCCGAGGCATCATCTATTGATCCAAAAACAACGGATCCTAAAAACAAGAGTTAGTAATGAAGATTGTAATGAATTGATAATAAAATCAGACCTGGTCGTACTGAACCCAGACTATTTCGAGGGACAGAGACGCCATCTTTTACGGACACGCCCTGGCCTAACGCACTTGGACGTCTCGAATGAGAAGTAGTTATTGGGGAAGCGACATGGTTTGGAGCAGGAGACTGCGATCGCGGCGAGGGAACAGCTGAAGATGAACTGCTCTGCGGCGGGCCCTTTGCCCAAGCTGATTGCGTAGGGAGCGGCGTCGGAGTCTTTCCAGATGCAGAGGAAACTTTGCTCATTCTACAAGAACAAAAAAAAATACGCAATACGCGCACAACAGCAGATAGTTCCAAACGTCAGTAACGAAAGAAAAAAAGAAGAAAAAGATGAACTCACGAATTTTCGATTGAACAGATATTTTAGCAAAAACAATGGATGATTTTGTCGCGCGTGGTGGTCGTCAAGTATGACCTGCCAGCAGGCGGAAACAAAAGATCAGTTTAAGAACTTTGATTCTGTCTATTGAAAAACGAAACCCGTCGCTGTCAGTGGCGATCTGGGTAAGTAGAAGGGAGAGTCTTCCTGTACTAGCCTGAGGCTGTAGGGAAACGACAGAGTACAACTCACCGTGAGACCAAAGCCAAAAAAAACCACCCCCTACAATGGACCCCGGTCACCATATCCTAATATTATATACACCATTATGTACCCCCGCTTATTAAAGTATGTACTCGAGCGGCGATATAATAATAAAAAAGGGCGGTATCTGAGTAGGTTGACGAGGGTTCGCACAGTTGCCTACGCTTAAGCATCCAGTCTACTCTTAGATCCCTCATGGGCTTGGAAACTCGTCATCATCATCATCAGAAGACATTTGTATGTAAATCGAGTGTATAGTATCACCGTCGACTCGTATGTTTCGTTCTTATCGGTTTGCATACGCTTTGTTCCGTTGCAAACGTTCTCCTCGTGTCGAGCTCACAGGCGTCTAATTTCTATTTGTGTTTCCTTCGATTCTTCATAGGACACGTGTTGAACGTTCATCCCAGGCTAATTACTACTTCTGACCAGTTGACGCTCTTGTTTCAGAGCTCGACAATATTAATCTGCATCCTGAAGAGCGAGGCATAACCTTATTTTAAGCCAGTTCCGCGATATCATCAAGCATAGTCGGACTAGAATCGGACTAGGAGACTTTCTGGAGATGAAGTCCATGATGCTAGTAATCAACTGCTACCCCTGTAACATGCAGAACCCGAGCCGAGCTCAAAGAGTATGCCCTTCTCAGCTTTATTGTTCAAGCACAGCACAGGAGCGAACCAGGGTAGCAGCAGTGGATGGAGCTTGCCTTGTACAAACCTCAATTAGATTCAGAGCTACCGCATCGATGGCACGGACTCTGGTACCGAGCCCGATCAACGCCCTCGCACTCGTCAAACACTACATAAAAGCATCAGCAGCTCTCACACTTGAGTTACCCGCAGTAGTACTACTTAACTCCTTCCCTTTTCCTTCCCGTGACGGGCACTAGTGTCACTTCCCTCATTATTACGTGTAATAGTTCGCGCGTTATCTTTCTTTGAATTCTACGCTTACTGACAACCCACCATCAATACAGTCCAATATTAACTTTGCCCTTCGACCATCCAAGGGATAAACTGACAATGGGATTTCTTCCCGGACAATTATCATCTCGTAATACAAGTCAATTCGTCTCTGGGACATCCAGACAGGCATCCAAGTCGGTAGTGGGCCTGTCATGAATGTCTCATCGTCCCCAGATGGACATCATCTAGCACGCGGATTGTCAGGCGGCAACCTTGAGGTACGGCAATGCAAATGACAACATCGTGACATCCATCTCAACTGAAAACGAATGCATCTGGTCCATCGTCCACTCACCGGACGCCACGAGATTAGCCACAAGCAGGAAGAATGGGTCTGTGGTCATCTGGAACCGCTCCACGGGAAAAAAAACTGCTGGAGCGCGGATGGAATGCACTTGGTATCTGCATGCTATGACCGGGGTATATGCATATGGGACTCCAACTCTGGCTCCCTGATCTCTGTCATCCTCGGGCACACTAATGCCGTCAAGGGCGTTGCCGCCTTATGTGTGAACGTGTTTTATGCAGATTCTCACTGACAACGGGATACCGCACGATGCACCCATATAATGAGACTAGGCTGAATCGTCATCGGCACTCGGCCACAGTGACTCTGCCCTCGGAGAGGACACGGTACTACATGTCGTTCCTTTCGCGTTTGTAGTGCTGACTCAAGCCTCGATAGCAGCCAACCAGCATCCCAATATTGGGCGACATCGACGAGTGTAGTGTTGGCAAGGCATGGAAACCACGAAGCGGCGATGCAGACATGATTCGCTTTCCACAGGCGTATATGTACAACTCAGCAGGCAATTGCAACGGGCACCCTCAATGAAAATATTATGACAAAGCGATCGACATGTTCGCAAACACAATGACTCTTGGTCCATTTAATCCCCAATTTCAAGGGCTCGAGGCCGTTTCTTCGGTAGCTAAACTAGTGCCCGTGCGTGCTGTCTGCTAATACTGTTCTGGGTGCAACGTTTTCGGATGAAAGTGCGACTCTTTGTGGCGACTAATGCATCAAAAAAACGCCAAGTGCTACGTGTCACAGGTCAACTGACTCTACGACATAACGTGCAAGTTTGGCCACGACACAAATACTGACACAATTCGTCGACTGGTTGAGGTAAGTCTCCTATCGCACTATGTCCTCAAGGGATGCATCTCAAGCGAATTTCAACACCAGTCTAGTGCGTTGCGGCGTCAGTGATCGAGGCAGATGCGGTTTTTATGCACCGAAAAATGATAAGGCGATTGCTTGATACTCAGTAGCGATAGCTCTGGATCCATTACAGGACGACTGTTTCCTTAAACGCAGCAAGGCCAGAGCTACAAGAGCCTTATGGGACAGCATTCTAGAGGATGCGCAGCAGGTACGCTTTGTTTGGTTTCTCTCGTGAAAGTGGCCTGGATCACATTGACGATATGGAACCCACTGTCAGGCGATCTTAATCCTTGGTCCCTCGTCACCATGGATTTTGAAATGAAGCATGCCCCACTTCACGCCTTGCAAGATTATGATAACGCAATCATGGCATTTAAGACCACCCTTTCGAAGCTAGACCATGCTGGTGACCCAGAACCGCACGGTAGGCGTTTACGTGTTCGCTAGTTAGTTTTGCTGCTCTGATGTGACGTTGTTTGACAGAGTTGCGTTTGAAATACGTCAGTCTATCTGAGACAAGGGAAAGCTGTCATCGCTGAGCCCGCCTATGCGCCACTTGACTTTTCAACACGAACACTGGACTGTTATTATGTGATCGCGAAGCGCAGATAAGGACATTCGAAGCCAGCACAGACTACAAGGAACGTGTCTCATCGATAACGACTCTTGCGGCGTCCCGACTCCGTCGCATTCGAGCAGGGGTTAACAAGTTCTTCCAATACGTGATGTTGTCGCACAGATGGGAAGGGAAAGAGCCGTTGTTGTCCGATATCCAGGACAAGAATGTTTATACGTTAGACCCGGTTCACACCATCATGAAATTACAGAAATTACAGAGATTCTGCGAAATTGCTCGCCAACGAGGATATCGATGGGCATGGAGCGATACTGGTTGCCAATCGACAAGGTCCATAACGTCGAGCTTCAAACGTATCTCCATGTTCCTGTGGTATCGTAATGCAGCTCACTATCACGTACCCGTCGGATGTTTCCGGTTCGTCAATGTCTGGTGGGCTGGTGGAGAAGCGCGTGGAGGGTGGATTTTACAAGAGTTCCTCGCCTCTTTTGTGGTTCTCTTTTTCAGGAAGGACTGGATCTTGTATGGTGACAATCGGTCATACAACCATGCGCTTGCAAGCTTCCAGCCTGGATCGGATGATGCCCGACTCAAGCTGCAATGAGCATACACTCGCGTCCCGACAGAGGAAGAGGATATCATATATTCGCTGTTAGGCATCTTCGATGTACAGCTCCCGGTCGGCGGATTATAGCGCAGTCGGGCGATATCGATTGGATCGGGGAAGCATCGGAATTCAATAGTTGGCTCCCTGAAGATATCTCATCATTCAAAACCCTATCATTTGCACCACCGACCCTGACTGGAGAAGAACTCAACGATATCATTTCTGCCCTGTGCGGTGTCATATTCCCCGATCTCGTGATTCAATTGTATGACCGGCTGGATGACCTCGCTGGGCCCTCGATTCGCCAACCATAAGCTGACTTTTCTTTGCATCGTACATCCTGTGGTAGCAGTGGTGCAGAGGCGCGATCAGGAAGGCGACGAACTCACCTTTGCATATGATATCAAAGCGGTCGGGTTCAAGGATCTCTCCATCGCGACGGCAGATAACCTAACCGAGACATCATCGACTAGGTCGGCTCGCCCAAACTATCTGCTTGTGCACCCCTGGAGCCGGGATCTACTCGATCCTCTCGCAGAGGATAGCGAGTCAGAGCCTGAGTATGACTCGGTAACAGAAACTCTTGGTGGAGATCCTATGGGCTGTTATGCAGAGACTGGTCGGTCACAGACGCGCATTAGGGCTTCTTGTCTGGCTGGGACAGCCATTCTCTGCGACTGCGGGGTGCAGAATATAAGAGGATCACATTTTTTCGTTAAATTATCGCGAAAGTCGATGATATCTCGAACTCGATTGATGCTAGAACATTGGATATACTTTAGATTACATGGAGGAATGTGGATATATGGGAGATATGGACGGGTACTGTCAATGATACAACTCACGCACCATAAAACAAACGTGGAGAATCTGAAAACAGCATTCTGCAAAGGGAATTCCGCGCAGTCCTCGTGTGCAAGGATTCCAAAGCAGCTAGTGGTGTGGAGCTCGATTAAAACTCTTGGGCTTTGGAGAAGGAAAGTCATCGTTGGAGTCGCGGCGGGGAATTGGGCTTTCTAACATATCTTAGAGGCCATGTCAGATATTTTGTGTCTTGTATCATTGAAGGGCGTCGCATAATAGCCCAGTGCGGCTGTAACTCGAATCAGCTCTCCAGTCATGGGACAAGCTACTTAGAGCCGTGTCCTTCCAAGTTGACCTGCGCTGAGACGCAGCAGTGCTGGGCAGATTCGAACATGGCCTGAAAAAGCTACTAGTCTCCACCACGTAAGTAGAAGTTGTTACGGTCGCCCCGCTTATGTACTCATCCTGTTCTGCAACTGCATCTGATGATCTCGAACCATAGCTAGCATCAAAGCGTTTTTCTCTCTCTTCCATAGCACGCTCTAGGATGAAGCATAGTGAAGCGGATCACTTGATTCGAAAACGAGCATCTGATCCTCGTGTCCAGCATGTGCTGATCGATCATTGGGTGTTACTGCGTTTCAGCAATGTGGAATTTCAGATACCCTCTTCTTATGAGTTCCGAGTCTGCGCAGTTTCCTTGACGCTCGCTTGATAGACTCGGATAATGAGATCCTAGTGCGGTTAGACGCGACAAGTCTGAAGCGTTGACAATGCAAACTTGCCATGAGGCTGGATCTTCACAGTTGGCTTTAACCATAGCAGCCTATGCATGTTCTTTGCCTCTTTTTAGTGTGATTTCATGATTGCCGGATCCCTTCTTAACCACGGGTGGCCCTGGGCTAGACCGACCCAGTTCTTGCAGACAGACCCTAGAACCCCATGACCTCCCTTATCGAGCACGTCCCCAGTTTCACACAAAGTTATCGCCCAGTCACGGACCATCACTCCAAAACAAGCCATTGCTCGACCCGAGGTAATATTAATTGATTGACCCCCGGAATCCGGAATATTATTGTCCCACTGCCAGTTTACTTAGTGGCAAGTGCTGCCGCATCTCCGTACACGCACTCTGTGAGTGTATTTTGTCTCTGAATATTGGTGGTAATCACTGATGCCTCCCAGCATGGACGTAGATCCCGATTCTGACTTCCGTGTTCGATTCCATGCACCTCAGCTAGCACCGATGCACATTCCGGGCTGGGATTATAGCAATATCCCAGAGCTTGTCGTGAGTCTAATCGCCATCACCACCATCGATAACCCTGACTTATGTATTCTTCCTCTATTTCAATGGACCTAAATCGCCCCGTATATGACCCTTGACTTCCAACTGAAACGAATCTACATATCAATCCGCCCTTACGATTTGATTCATCCTGAATGCTGTTGCGCAACTCAAGAACTTGCCCGACTGTGTGCCTGACGAAGATGTACGCCCTCTGACAGAACTCCATCATAACATTCAGTCTGCGACCAACCTCGTCGAAATCGAGCGCCATCTACGCGCGTTAGCCCTCATTTGGGAAGATTACTACCTTCCCAAGTATCCTGTTCCCTTCTTTCAAGTGCGCGTTGCCGATGTACGCGCGACCGGCGGGTCCCTCAGTACCGCTCTCCCACTGTACGACGAGGCGCGTGGTTCGGTGGTCTCTGTGGGCTGGGGCTAAAATTTTCTTTTCCTTTGGCCTTCCTTCCTTTTCATTTCCCCCAATCATGTTTCTTGTCCTTTCGTCCCTCCCTTTCAATGCAGGTTCTGCATGGTATCAATGGCGAGAACGGCGCATCATTTGCTCAGTTCGTATCAACAGTACGGATGCTAGCGCAAGGTGATGCGGAGCAGCAAGGTGCGATCTGATTAGTGCTTCACAACCCACCTATATTTTTCATAGCTCGCAGCACGGGTTCCCTCACTTTCTTCCAACGCTGGAAGCCCGCGCGTGAGCATGCCAATCCCTTCAACTGGCCCATGCTCCCGCCAGCGTCAGCAGACATCCTGGCTACATGGCGCACGAGTCCATACCAACGACAGTACCTCAACTTCATCTGGATCAAGGCACAATTCCTGGAGGGCACCTTCCACTTGGTTGGGGAGGTGAGTCACTCGATCGTGGAGCATCAACGCTGAAATGGTAGTCTGCGTAGCACTAATGCTCTTGTCAACCTAGTCTGTAGATGCGCTCACTCATTGGGGATTTGCACCCCACCTAGTGCGATGCGATACCAGAAGCGATCTCAAAGACCCCGATTCCATTGTTCAAGCGTTAATTGACCTCGAAGACGTAAGTCTTTCCCCGTCACCTCCCTTTTCACTCATCCTACTCAACCTGCCTCCAGGCCTTTTCTGCCATCATCCCATGCCACGAGCGCCCTGAGCTCCTGACCCCTGGGCTGATACAAGCTGTGCACGCCAAGCTGATGCGCACATCAAAAGTGAAGATCAATGACCCAATGGTTGGAGGCATGCATTATATCAACGCGGGTTTCAGTCGCCAAACGACTCAGAAGTCAGTGGTGAGACGTAGCCAGCAGTATAATCTCGCATTTTGCCCTGCGGAACGCGTGGACCAGCAGCTGGAGTATATCTGTCGGATGGGGAAGGTGAGTGGGCGTTGATTTTCGCTGGGCTTTGTGCAGCGCTTTGCGTCGACTGAGGTGCTGATGATGAGATACAGCAATACATTGCTCGCTGGAGGAACCCGTTTGCGACGGCTGCTTGGCTCCACGTCACTTTCGTGCGGTGTCATCCATTCGATGTGCGTCTTTCGTCTTTCTTCCTGATTGGTCATGATCTGACTTGAGTCATTATACAGGATGGAAATGGCCGCATGTCACTCCTTATCTCGTCTATCCCGCTTATGCGCCACGGATTCCCACCGCTCTGCATCACTCCGTCGCTGAGGAGTGTGTATTATGATGCGTTGAATATTGTGAGCATTTTCTACATATTGATGCTTGTTCTATTTCTGTTGAGCCGTATTGTTGTTCTGGTGTTTTACAAAATAATTATAATTATCTGCTGATAGTTCTGATTTTTGTTGTTTTATCATCCCGCATTCTACACTCTTTCCCTCTTCCCACCTGTATCCATACCAACGAATGCTGACCCCACCTCCTATAGGCCTGGGAGGGCGACTTCCAGCCCCTAATCAACTGCTTTGTAGACTCAATGAACTCGAGTCTCGAAGACGTGCAACGAATCATGGGCGTCGCTTAATCTCCGCATATCTGCGACTTGGGTTGAAGAAGACCAAGTCGACTCGGCGAATTGGTTATGTTCTGGATGTCGTATCATCATCGTCTCGCCTCGTTTTTAAAAATGAAAACGAAAACGTTAATTGGTGTCTTTGTATGCATTTCTTTAACGTGTGGATTAGGAGCCTGGTTGTTGTAGTATAATAATCCCGTTGTTCTTACTATCATGCTCATGTTGTACCCTTCCCCCTTCCTGCTGCTAGCTCCATCACACGTTACCTCGAGCTCTCCTCATCCCTTCCATGCCCTCAGTTCTGTTTTGATTGCTCCCCGATAGTTCCAGATACCTGCGCCTTGCCATGGATGTATGATATATGTAGCAGTCTATTTCTGAATTTCTAGATGTATTTTCTAGACTGTCAGAGGTCGACGGAAGAATCAACTCGCATACTCGATCAACCAGGTCCACCAGCTGCAATCTGATGGATTGAATATTGAGGGCTGCCAATCTGACCATCGCGAGCATTTCATAAGTCTGATCATAAGGCATGAATTACTTGAAGGAGCAGAACAGCTGAGTTCAGCTGGCCCGCCAGAAGCCTCGAGGCCTCAAGCTTCAAACTCAAGACCCGCCGCAATGCGGTCCGACTACTTGGACACTGGTACCACGTAGCAGTCAGTAGAAGGAACGGCTGACTTCATTCAGTCTCTGGTATTCCATTCTACCCCATAAATTAATACATTGTCACACAGCACTAAAGTACACCAAGATCTATGTCATAACTCAAGCAAGATATGGGTATGTACGTCAAAACTCAGAACGCCATGCAGTTAGCACTCCCCCACCCTCACCGGCGGAAACACCTTAATCCATCCCCTTAGCAGCCTTCACAAACGCACGCACCTTCTCTCATCCTTCCTCCCTCCCACCCTTTCAAGCTCACGATCAACCCCATCACGCTCAACGCCCCCGCTCACATCCACCATCCACGGCCGCACACGCTTCAACCGCTTCGCGCACGTTCAAAGGATTGAGCCCACCAGCAAGAATGAGGGGCAGAGGGAACGCGCTCGCGGGTTCTTCCTCGACGTTTTGTTCCCCAGTAGAATTCACGGCGCCGCTTCGGGGATGTGTCAACACTCACGTCCGGAGAAATGACAGGCACCTCGCCCTTCCTCACAAAACGCGCTGCGAGTGCCCAGTCGAGCGTTTTGCCTGTACCACCGCTGGGAGACGAGGACTGAGCGGAGGATGTGGTGTCGAGCAGGATAAAGTGGTGGTATCCGGGTGTCGAGAGGGTCTGGAGGGGGTCTGGAGATGGAAGAGGGGCGGTGTAAGTTTCCACAACCTCGTTTCCCTCGCTTGTGTTCTCAGGTTTCTCTTCAGGGACAGATGCTGGTGCGGAAGGGGGAGGCACCCCGCCCACCCTTATGACCGGGACCCCGATGCTCCTGGCCCACTCGATGGGCTCTAAGCCGTGTAGCTGGACAATGTCAAGGCCGACATCGCGCACGACTCGCTGAATGTAGCGCAAGGGCTGATTCTGGAATACCCCAACGAGGAGGGGTCGCGTCTTGCGCATGGGTGATGGGATGTAAGAGGCACGGACGTGCGATGTGAACCACGGAAGGGGTAGGTTCGAAGTTTCATCTTCACCCTCATCGGAATCGGAATCAGGAAGTGGGTAGGCGTTGCGCACTGCCAAAGAGATCTCTCGCGCAAGGTGCACGCTCACGGAGCGCTTTGAGGTGGGGACAAAGACAAGGCCAAGGAAGTCTGCGCCGGCGTTTGCTGTGCTCAGGGCTTCAGAAGGGGTGAGAATGCCGCAAATTTTTACGAGGGCGGTAGGAGGGATTGATATGGGGGATCGAGGGTGAAGAGGGGGATTTTGGAACGGGCTCATCCCAATCCAATAGTTGTCTTATAAACTTGCCCTTGTCCTTCGCGCGCATCAGTGACTCTCCAACTAGAATAGCCTTCACAGCCCTGCTCCCTATATGCTCGGACGTCGGCGGGGCCCTTGATCCCACTCAACGCGCACAAGATGACCTCTCCAGTTTTTCCTTTTTGCTCCAGAACCTCTGCGACGCCCGAGGTCGTGCTCATGTCGACGGTGAATGAGTGCAAGTTGCGGTTGTTCACCCCAATGACCTTGGCACCGACGTCGAGCGCGATATGAAGTTCGGAAGGGGAGTTCACTTCCACCAAAGGTTCCATGCCGAGGGTCATGCTATACTCGAGCAGTTCCCGTGTCCTGGCCTTACCCAGCATAGCCACGATGAGGAGGACACTATCTGCACCAGCCAGACGGGCCTCCACAATCTGATACTCGCTGAGTACAAAATCCTTCCTGAGCACGGCAGGCCTAGAACTTAGGCCGTCAATGGCCAATCGAACGGCACGCATATCCTCGAGGTGGCCGTGAAAGTATGTTGGTTCTGTGAGCACGCTGATGGCACTTGCACCAGCAAGAGCGTAGGATAGTGCTGTGTGCGGGGCAGATGTGTGCGGAGCAATTGCTCCGGCGCTCGGGGACGCGCGCTTTATTTCAGCGAGCAGTGCCATGCCGTTGCGCGCGTGAAGCAGCCGCTGGGAGAGGGATATCGGCGGAGGTGCGAGGTGCAGGGAGAGGTGTGCGTTAGAGGGCTGTGAGGGTGAGCCCCGGGGTGTTGGATAGGGCTTCGACCTCGGAGGTGCGTTTTTTTGCGATTTTTGTGAGGATGGAGGGGGCGGAGGACTTGGCGTCGTCTGTAGTGATAGATTTGGACTTGTCTGTAAGAGCGTCGTATGGGAAGGGGGGCATCTCTGGATCGTTCACTTTTGCGTGGGGGTTCTCTTCCCAAGTGCCTCCTTTTAGTTCCAAGAAATTCCTCAGGAGACCTTCACCCTCCTGTGATAAGATGGATTCTGGGTGGTACTGCACGGCTTCGACGACGTAGGTGCGGTGGCGGACGCCCATTATGACACCAGTGTCGGAGGTGGCACTGGTGACCATGAGACAAGAAGGCAGGGAGAGGAGAGAGGCCGAGAGGGAATGGTAACGGGTGCTCAGGATGGACTGGGGCAAGGAGATAAAAATGGAGCGTGCGTCATGGGTGATGGGGGACAGCTTTCCATGCTTTATTTCCCCGGCATAACTGAAGGGTAGGGTGTTATTTTTGTAGAAAAGAAACATGATGAGATTGGACTGACCCGATCTCACCACCGTATACATCGACGATGCACTCCAAACCCATGCAAACACCTAACACTGGGACTTTGCCTGCAAAATACTTGATCGCGTCTCTAGACACGCCAGAGTCGGTCTTGGGGTGACCAGGACCTGGGCTGACTATGAGGCGGTTAATGCGAAGAAGAGGGAGCTGGTCAGGAGTGAGCGCATTGTTACGAATGACAGTGACCTGTGTTCCGAGAAGTGAGAGTACTTGGTATAGATTCCACGTGAATGAATCGAAATTATCGATCATAAGCGTGTCTATATCACCAGAGAGCGTCGCTGGAAGTGGCGCTGGCGTCATCCTGGCTTTGCAAGACGTGTACTTACTAGTGAAACAGATATCTGGCACAGCCCAAGTCATTCGAAGATTCATCTAAATCAGATAACTATTGATCAATATCTGCCGATTACAAACCCCGCTCGGCAACAACAATAATAATTTATAAACTTTATTACATTTGTACTTGTTATGACCTGCTTGTACCACTCAATCCATCACCGCCCCTTTTGTGACTTGCCAGTGCAAAACGAGCGCAGGCTATGTACATTAGACACACGACAAATGTCTCCGAGCTCCTCCACCGATCATTATGATCAAACGACCACATGTGCCAGAGGCAGGAATTGCCTAATTGACACCCATCACATAGACTGGGAGGCTCTGGCCGTTCATGTACCCAGCCCGCACAAGGCAGAGCATAAGTGTCATCCGAGTCTATGACCATTGATACACCCTGCGCTGTGTACAAGTATGGCCAGCAATGCATAAAATTCGAACAGAGTGTTCCTCACGACTTCGCTCATCGTTAACGCCACATAACAGGCTGCCAAGGGCCAAAGCATTAGGTCGCTCCCCAGTGGGAACCAGTGGATCCTGGTGAGCTCGATCAATGCTCTTGCCTTGAAGGGCATCGCGCCAGGTTTGCAAGGCAGAATAAAAACTGGAGTCGACGATCAGAAACATCGGCGATGCTTAAATTTATACTCCTCTATGGAAACACTGCACCCTATGCACTGGCAAGCATACAATCAGCTACTACTTGTTACTGTTCATTCGACCATATCACTTGCTCAATTATAATTTGTCGTCATGACTCACGCAATTCTGTCTCGCCTACTTATATCGATTATCGTATATGGGGAGGAAGTACACTTCAGCATGCAGGATATGTGAAGCTCCGTGCGCTGCTTGGCGACCCTACTCCATAGAGGACTCTGGAGGCCTGGACCTCACTGCGCCAAATCTTGCAATAAGGCTTGCGAACCAGCTGAACGTTATCAAGTAACAAATGCAGTATTTAAAAGCGAATGTTCAAGCTGACAAGCGAGACTACAAATTAACTGCGTCGTAAGTACTTCAGTCATATTCTATGTATTCAAGTGTTTGAGATTTCCTAGAGCTATTCCATTATCTCTATTGCTCGAGTAGCAGTAGAATTTGTTCAGAAGCAAACACGTTGATCAACTCAGCAACAAACCATTCGTGCCATCAACCGTACTGCATCGATGTGAAAGCAGAAACACGACTCACCGCCACCTCTGTCACAAGCAAAAAAAAAGAGGTACCACGCCGGTGAGTCGCGTGGTTAAATCCAGGACACAAATTACTCATACTCCGCATATGGACTGCGAGCAGTGTAAGCAGTGGCTATCTTGCGAGCAAAATATAGGTTATTTTTCACTATCAGGGTCACTGGCAGGTACTGATGCTGCAGATATTGATGCTGTCAAAGCAGCAACAACGGCGAGGACAAAGGAGAACCGCATTGTTTGTGAGGATGTGATATGAGATCAAATAAATCTGAATAGGACGGTAGGAAGACGCCTTACTTTTATGTGCTGAATATTCCCGGACACCCACGTCTAGTGGTAGAAGGGTTTTGTCGAAAATAGTTCACGTGGCGGTGTTCACAGACCGTGCCCGTTTTTCTGACGCTGTGCACAAGAGGAGCATGACCTGCTGAAGTAAGTCACGGCGTCAAAGTTATGCATATAATGTATGACATTATATTGTATTGAATCCAGCCACTCAAAATTCAATAGATCAAGTTCGAGCTGGACTGATATGCATGACAGAATGTTGGTGCTACAGCCCAGCCATCGATTCTGTCGGAAAATTGGTGCATCATAAAATGTGGTTTCAATAACATGCAAGTCAGCTGTCTATATAATTGTGCCGCTACCAGATTACGGGGACTGGCGCGGCCGAGGGCTGTTACGATTGAACCTGTGTGAACGGTCGGCGGGTCAACTGCAAATTTGTTGCCTTGGTCTCCCCTAGCCAGAATTATAGAAGAAGGAAGAGGTGTTCCTTCTATGCCGGCTCTTGTAACTTATCGGCAGGAACTGGCACCAATAGCAACTCCCGGGTAAATGCATATGCAGTGGCACGGCCCAACATTACGCGTTGTAATGCATACTTTTATTTTCTGTACGTCAATATATATCTCATATATGAGTGATTGACTGCGTAATCTCAGCAGAACACACATCTGGGAGAAAATAAAATGAGTGAAATTGAGCCCGACTCAGTTTCGCTTGTTTTATTTTCATGCACACGTGTTTATTTGAGATCTCACAGATGAGATGTATGTTGACTCACAGAAAACAAAACAAAATTGAGTGGGCTGATAGCCTTGCATATGTAGCCCATATGTGCCTAAGGCCTAATTTATAAGTGGTTGACTTTCCGCAAGGTTGTACAGAAAAGTGCGTTTGTAAATTTTGGCAGGTCGATGTCGGCCGCCCGGCGAGAGGTGTCTTGATAATCTTTGAGTCGTGACATTGATTCGATCGTGTAAAATCTACCGCCATGGGTGCAGAAGCTCCGAGTCGGTTTTTAAACTCTACATGTATGCATTCACAGATCGCGACGAGGCTTACATCTTGAAAATCCGCATTCCCCGCAGCTGGGGAACAACAATTGGGCCTTATTACTTCGAACTAGGGACTATTTAGTAGGAGAACACAATGATTTTACTCACGTCTATATTCTTGAACTTGATCTGATGTGAATCATGATTGCCCTTCAGCGGGTCTGGTTGTACCATCGAAGGGTAGAAAAGGTGCGTTCCGGGGCCACCGGAGAAGTTAGGCACGGGTAAAAGAGGAAAGTAGGTATCGAAAAGACGGAACAACCGATCGACTGAGATGGGAACGATCACAATGTTACTAAACGCCGGTACCGCATTAAATCAGTGAACGCGTGAACGTCTGCCTGTCTTCAAAATGAGGTCCGGATGGTTATATATATTCCCTCTAAGTAACTTTGACGGGAGCTACAACGCAGGTGCATTCCTATGCTCATCATGATCTTGAGCACTGGAATAATAGTTGATATGATAGGTACGCTTGTGAGAGCTTGAGAATAGTGCAAGGCAAGGTCTGACAACCCAGTGAACTGACACTGCCGCCGGCTGTTGCACTGCCCTGGCAACGCCTATTTATCGAAATGGTAAACCGTTCAGTGAAGAGCTGACTGCGTCCATTTCTTTTCGTTCCCTTTGTACCTATTCTTTTCGGTTTCTTTTTCTTTTTAATCTCTTTTTTTGTTTTCTCGGGGCCGAGCCCAGACTGTGGTATTTTTCACTCGTTGTTCTTCCGTTCGGTGTCTGTCCGTCCCGTCCGTGTCCGTTGCCGTTACTGCGCTTTTCGGTTTTGTTTGCGTCTGGAACGCCTCCTGTACCCCCATATCAACCTGAAACACTAAGAAGGGTAGAAGAACCATGGCCACTTCGTTGAAAGCAGAGTTGGAGATATGGGCAGCAGCCTTGAAGGCTTATGACGAGCAGGACTTTGAGAAGGCATTAGACTCTTTCTCGGTCAGTTCCTTGTCTCACTCGCTATTCATTGTCTCATAACTTGCATTCTTGTCGTGTCTCGAAATCGCGATGCTCGACTATTAGCGTATTGCCGACTCTTCCAAGATCCTCACGAACATGGGCCTAATCTACGCAACAATCGGCGAACATGAGGCTGCAGTCGAACAGTTCATGGCTGCTACAAGCCTCGATCCGTACCTTGCCATCGCGTATGTCATTTCTCCCCACTCTAACATTCTTACCCGTTTTCCTTTATTGCACAAGAAGCTGATTTCTGCTCCGATACAGCTACTTCCAATGCGGGGTATCTAACTTTTTGCTCAGTCGATATGATATCGCTCTCCAAAATTTCGATGATGCCCTTCTTTATCTTCGTGGGAACCAAGCCATGTCAGTTTTCTTTGTGGAACTCTTCCATGGATTATTGTTCTAATTATCCCGCAGTAACTATGAACAAATCGGCCTGAAGTTCAAACTATTCTCACCTGAAGTGCTTTTCAATAAAGGCCTTTCCCAAATTTACCTGGGCTACCCGAATGAGGGTCTATCAGAGATGGAGGATGCGCGCAATCAGAAGGTGACTGATGAGCACAATGTAATTGATGATGCCATCAGGGATCGTGGAGAGGGATATACGGTCTTTAGTATTGTACGTCACCCGTCCTCACATTCTACTTTGATGATACTTATTAATGGGGGTCATTTTTTCTAGCCTGTTGGCGTGCTGTACCGCCCTTCAGAGAATAAGCTCAAAAATTCCAAGAGTAAAGACTATCTTGGGAAGGCGGTACGCTTCCATCTAGCTCATGTTCTTTTATCCTTACTGAGTCTGTATTCTGCAGAGACTTGTCGCAGCAGCAGACGCCACCGATGCCTTCACTGAATTCACTGGCGTCAAGAAACTCAAGGAGGAGCGCGAGAAAGCGAAAGAAAGAGATCAAGAACAGGATGACGGTCCATTGAGAAGAAGCGCAACTGTCCCTCCATCACGTACGTTCTATTCATGTCTATTCTCAATCTTCCCGATGCTCAATATTTGCTAGGCGTCGACCCCGTCGACCGGTCTAACCTCGAGCGCTCTAAAACAACGAACGCAGGCATGGAGAGGATGTATACTCCCGCCTTCTCTTCTAGCCGCACACAATCTGAAGATGTCCCTGCCCTACCCCCCACATCAGGTTTGTCGAGGATCAACACCATCGCACTTTCGCGCAGCAACACTTCCGCCGTCGCTTCTAGCCGCTCACCGATCGATTCTGCTGATGTACCTGCCCTGTCCCCCACATCAGGTTTCTCCAGGAGCAACGCTGCCGCACTTTCGCGCAACAACACTACCGCTGCGCCTCTCCGTCCCATAACCCCTGCATCAGGTATAGCTGTCTCGAGAGGACTAACCGTGAGGAAAAAAGAACCTCTGCCCAACCAAGTTGTCAATCAACCTGGGGCCCTCTTTCAGCCTCCGTTCGCACCACAGAACTCCTATCCTGATTCGTCACAGCTGCAGAGACAATACCAACAGCAACAATATCAGAACCAGCCGCCAGCGCGCAATCAGTACCAACAACCCCAGCCGTACCAAAACCAGAGTCTTCCTGACAATGGATATCAGGCACTGCCAGCTGGCCTCCAGCCTAGCAGCCTACCCGTACCAAGGGCGCCGTTTGTGCTTCGCGCTGCTCCTACCCAAGATCGTAGGTGTTATTTTGAAGCCTTGGTTATGTTACATTAAGCCTTATGTTTGCAGCATTGGCTCAACAGCAAGATTTCTTTGATGACTACATTAGTGTCTACACTGATGAGCAAACACGTCCCCTCGTGCCAGGCTCGCTACCTAACATGGGCCTGGATCGCATAGCATTGTGGCCTCAGGGAAGCGTACAGTCAAGTCCAGGGACTATGCCCTCGAGCTTGAAGCGGTGGTTCGTTAATTCAGCGGAATGCCCTCACGCAATGCGATGGCCAACCCGTATCCGCAGGGGTCCTTGGGCTCTGAGGCACCAATTGGTGTCAATATCTCCCGCAGTGCTGGTGGGGGAAGCATGCGTCGGAAACCAACCAGACGGGCGACGCAGAGGCGGCCGAAGACAACGTACGAGGAAGAGGAGGAGGGATATGTGAGTGGGGAGTACGACGAACCGTTCGAATTGTCGAATATCCGCGTCAAGGTCTGTGTTCATTGTATTCATGGTGGTATCCGAGTAGCTTACACGTTGGTTGCAGTTGCACTACCAAGGCGACTGTGCGTGGAATGACACTCGCGCCTGACACGCCATTTGAAGAATTCGTGGAGCGCGTGACGAGCAAGTTTGGTACTGCTATGGATGGTCTGGGTCTCAAGTTCAACGATGAAGATGATGTAAAAGTGACGCTAAGAGATAGCGGCGATTATGAACTTGCCATCGAGACTGCACGAACGAGCGCGAAGGGCAGGGCCGAGGGAAAGCTGGAGATTTGGTGCACGGATATGTAAGACTATATGAGCTTGCATGTCGTTTCACTGCTGGGTGTATCTTGGATGATTTTTGGATTTTTGGGGATGTGTGTTATGTTTAATGTTTTGCTCACTGTCACATATATCAAGGATCTACAATATTATCTTGTTATTTGATCTCTTGTTGACCGAATTGGACGTGGACGTGGTCTCGACTTCTCCAGCTCGGTGTTTATAGACGGGACTCGGTTGAGCTCATAATTATTCTCCACTCAGTTGTTGATACTGTCGTTTCTCATTGTCGTTGACCAGACGCACTACTAAATTGTTTTCTTACAAACCGAACATTTCCAATTGGCAAACTGAGCAGACTGGTCATGGTTTCAGTTCCCCTCATTGGACGTCTCAAGGGGCACGAATACGCAGCTCTCGTTGGGGGCTTCTTCTTCCTCGTCATCGAAAACGCCCTCCGCTTCATCATAATGCTCCTCCCCATACCCATCATCCAGTGGTTCTACGATCGCTCTAGTACCCTCTTTCACCGTTTCTCCACCAAACACGCAAAGGGCAAGTCCAAGGCGGAAGATGTTGCTGACGCTATCAGGCAAGCAAAGGATTTTGGAGAGCTATGTCGGTATTGGGGTTACACGCATGAGGAACATGTTGTTTTGACGAAGGATGGGTATTTGTTGGGCTTGCATAGGCTGCCGACGAAGAGGGGTCAGAGGAAACGAAGTCCTGGGACGAGCACGGGAAAGCCGGTGGTGTATCTCCATCATGGGTTACTCATGAACAGCGAAGTATGGGTGTGTTTAACAGACGCGGAGAGATGCTTGCCGTTTGTCCTTGCAGAACAAGGTGCGAAATACAATTTATTCTGTTACAGACATCATGATCCTGATTTATCCGATGAAAGGCTTCGACGTATGGCTGGGTAATAACCGAGGGAACAAGTACTCCAAAAAGTCGGTTCATCATGACCCGAATTCGCCCAAGTTTTGGAACTACAGCCTCGATGATTTTGCTTGGCATGATATTCCTGATTCCATTCAGTATATTCTGGATATCACCAAGTCAAACAGCTTGAGCTATGTTGGTTTCAGCCAGGGTACCGCACAGGCATTTGCTGCACTCAGCATTCATCCGCAGTTGAATGAGAAGGTGAACGTCTTCATTGCACTGGCACCTGCTATGAGCCCGGCGGGATTGGCGGCTCCACTTGTTGATGGTCTCATGAAAGCTTCGTGAGTACATTACCCGACTAGCACCGTCTGTCCTTAAAAACTGATGTATTCTAGCCCGACACTCATGTATCTATTCTTCGGACGCAAAGCCATTCTATCTTCTACAACAACCTGGCAAGCCATCATGTACCCACCCATCTTCGCAAGCGTCATCGACACTTCCTTGCGTTTCCTCTTCAACTGGCACAGTCACAACATCTCATATCTCCAGAAGATAGCCGCATATGCCCATCTCTACTCCTTCGCGTCCGTCAAGTCCGTCGTGCATTGGTTCCAGATCATGCGCGAGGGCGCGTTCCAGATGTTCGACGACGATGTCAGCGCGTTTAGCTCTCCTGGTGGGCGTGCGTACCGACCTGCGAGGTTTCCAACGAAGAATATCGTCACATCGATCGTGTTGTTGTATGGAGACAAGGATAGCCTCGTGGACATACAGATGATGCTCAAAGAACTCCCGGATCACACGATTGTCAAACGTCTGGCTGGGTATGAACATTTGGACATTCTTTGGGGGAAGGATGTTGATAAGGATGTTATTCCGGAGGTTGTGAACGCCTTGAAGTTGCACTGCGACTCGTGCGGGAGTCCGGACCAGTTCAAGGATGGGTTCAAAGCTTTTGAAAGGTAATCATGGGGGACATTTATATAGTTATTGATACATAGCGGACGGTTGATTTATTCTTTCTGTAATCCTTCAGGTATAGATACTTACATTCATCTGGTAATGTAGTACTGATCGACGGTGGTGGTATATGAAATCTTTACGGTATAATTGCGACTATCGACAGGTTATAAATCCTCCCGGACCGACTCAGCGCATTTTTTAGACTTTTTAGACCGCTTTTCACTTTTAGACTCGGACTTGACGAAATTCTCGTCCGTGTAAGGCTCTTCTGCTGTTGCCTGGGTATCAGATTTTGCTTTCTTTTTCTTCTTGTCATCTTTCCGCCTCTTCCTCTCAGACTCCAAGGCATCTTCGGGTTCTTCCACAGCAGCTGATAAGGCAAGGTCAGACGGTTCCGCACCTCTCAACTTCCGTTGCTCCTCTTTCAGTTTCTTCTTTTTTGCCTTAACGTCGGCGTCAGGTATTTCAACTCCTACCCCCGCAGGCCCGTCAACCGCTTCTGCGTTCCGCAGTTTTCTTTCTTCTTTCTCTCCGCTTTGCGTCGCTGTTTCTCAGTCATCTCTTCATCTCTGGAACTCTCTCTGCAAGATGTCGCCGTGGGCTGGGGAGGTTGAAATATAGCCTGTGTAGCAGAAGATGCCATCTGGACGACGGTGGCGTGCGATGAGGTGGATGCATTGAAGAACTGGGCGAACACGTTCGAAGAGCCACCTTCTCCAAAACTGCGACCTGCACCAAGTCCAGTTCGCGGTTGATCAATGTCGTCTCGAGAAGGGGCACTGGAAGAGCCGATCCCTCTCCGAGAAGTACTTCCATCGTCATTTGCAGCGGGGGTATTGGTGCCAGATTTCGCAGCCAGCTTCTCCTTGAAATAGTCTGCGACGCTCTTGTTCGACGTTGTGAGCTTCTCGAGGGGGAGGTCGTCGTCTTCGGGTGTGATTGGGGTGAGAGAACCAGAGGGGGTCACGGAGGAAATGATAGAAGGAGTGGGTGCAATCCCCAGAATTTCAGATATGGCAGCTGCTGATTTATTTGCAAGGCGTTTAGCAGCTTGTATACGAGCACGGTGACTGGGAGAGGTAGTCAGCATCAGATGTCATAGTTATCAGGAAGAGACGCACGCCATAGGACGACCCTTTGGCTTCGTTTGAGGAACAGGTGGTGTAGTATGAGGGGATGGGGCAGGAGGATCAACATGTGAAGAAGTAGATTGCAATGAATCCGCTGTAGCTGAATCTTCGGCATCCTCGTGCTTGCGTTTTTCTTTCTTCCGTTTTTTCTTGTCTTTCCCGTCCCCATCATGTCCCCCCTCCTTTCTCTTACGTTTCTTCTCTTTCTTCGACAATTGGTTCGACTCCTTGTCCTCCTCGACTTTCTCTCCTTCAGAGAGTGCATCCACTTCAGGATGCTCAGGCCGAACAAATTCTCCCAGCACACTCTTAGAAGCAGCATCCTGACCATCCTGCGCATTGAGCCTCTGCAGCAAAGCCTCAAAGTCCTTGTTCTGTTTCCACGCAATACCATGAGGATCTTGCTGATGCGCGGCGCCAATACCAAGCATATCAAGCTTTTGGGAGACCTTGAGATGCGATTTCATGCCATCGCCTGAGGCGCCCAGACCTTTTGAGGGGTCCCAGCCAAGCTTGGACATGTAAGACTGACCGAAGCGAGCTGCATCTATAGAAATGTGAGGATAGTGTTGGGAAGTAAAGTCGTTACTTGCCATCTGCCCAGGATAAGTTTCGTGGATCATTTGGAATGCGTTGTTTTTGCTTTCTGCCGGCCAGTCCCATGGTGGATAATGTTATTAGGCAGCCGCCTTGAAAGTACTTGAAGCTTGAAGCCTCAGGATTCTGTAGACTCTGGACTCGGAGTATGGGAAATCCAAAAAAATTAGGGTTCCCGATTCGGCAAGTATTGTCAATGAGCTGCTTTTCACGGTCATTGACTTTTCTCTCCCGAACTTTTACAGTACAGTACGACTTGTGACCACTCTGACTACGTCCTTGAGTGCACACTGCGTTATCCAGAGTTCGTGATCGACGAGATGCCCAGCTGAGTGTGCATGGCAGGTCAACTTCAGGCTCACTTCAGCACCGGCGTTGACTCAACCGATGAGAGAAAGCCGTTCCGTGTCACTTTGAAAGCTGACTCGTAACGGTGGTCCCACCTATGGCATATCATGAGACTTTCTAATTCTCTGCGGACCCGAGGTGACACTCCATGTAGTCATCTCCTCCCGGTCCGTCGTCCGCCAACTTCAAAAGCTTGTGTTATCATGGTACTGACAACTAATGTACTATCATCCATATCGCCAAAACAGGTAGGAAAATCCGCTTCCTCTTTGTCTTCCCTTCTCAAGCGCTATCATGCAGCACGAATGGCTGAAACCCCAACCTGTCAGGTAAAATCATATTTTTCCGATATGGAGTTTGCCAGACGAGCTCCTTCTCGTCATCTTGAAGGCCGTTGCAGATGACGTACAGAGCAGTGACCACGAGCTGAGCCTCGGTTGCGTGACACTCGCGAGTGTTTGTCGTAGATGGCGGTCGCTGGTTCTCAGTACCTCTCGTTTCTGGACACGCATGCATATGTCCATACAGTCCAAGCTTGATGCCTTTCCCAGGGAACATCTCGAAAGAAATGTGAAGAGATCTGGGAATGCGCTGGTTGATGTTGTCATACATATTGCGTGGCGACCTCACACTTGGAACCCGCAGGCCCAAGCCCAGACAAGAGCTATCTTTGGCGAAGCCAAGAAGTGCCTCAGACTGCTGCGGGAGTGCAGCCACAAATGGAGAAGCCTCAGAATCATCAAGGAGGGGATCAGTCCCACAGACCTCTTCGATTCGGTGCTGTCCGAGCTAGGCTTTCCTCTCGCACCTGCATTGAAAAAGGTCGAGATCATTTCTGGCGACGGTGGTGACTGGGCCACTTTGGTGAAAGAACCCTTTCAGTTTCTATCCAGCGCACTCACTCCTTCGCTGAAGACGTTGATATTGAAAGGATGCGAATTGAGGATATTACGGCACTTCGATGCATCATCCCTAACACATCTCAGTCTCAGCAAATGTAGCGACACTTCAAGCAGTATCATCATCTTTCGCAACCTCCTGTCATCTGCACGCAATCTCGTGTCTCTCGAGTTGTACCCACGCGTCGTTCTTGTAGGGCACTCAGAGATGGACACCATACTACGCCCCGTCATACTCCCCAGTCTCCGAACCCTCAGCATCATTATGGGCACAGAGAAGCCATCATATCTCAGTGACATCCTCAGGACCATTGCCACTCCGAATCTACATCACCTCGCAGTCTATGGTGACTCGCTGATATCATGGGACGAAGACAGTCTCCCCGACTTCTCATCGCCAGCATTCTTCCTCCGGCGAGACCAGACATCGAAGTTCCCGTCCGTGCGCAAACTGACGATGAAGAACATACTCCAGTCAATGCATGGCCCCGGGAAAAACTTACGTTTCATCTTCACTGCGTTCCCTCAAGTGACAGAAGTGGTATTTGACCATGACGTTCGGGAGATTGCTGATCAACTCGCACTGGAATCATACGACCAGACAGCGCTTCCGCCATGGAGATGCCTGCGGCAGGTGACGATTGAGATGTCCTCCATGACGAAGTTCTGCTACCTCTCACACCTTTCTGAGTTTCTGAGTGGCTGCATCTCTGGCGCGTGAGGAGGCTGCCACTGCCAGCGGTCGTCATCCGCTACGAGCTTCAACGAATTGAAGTGGCGAGAGACGCAAGAGATTCGACGGCGATTAAAAGAATTGTGAATGATACAACAGGATATTGCGCATCTGGTACGAGGGAGGTGGTCAAGCAGCTCGGAAAGCTGGGTGCGTTCGTGGATCTGAGGGTTGATTTGTGGACTGAGTGAAGCGTCTATCGATACACATTCTTACTTTACCCCTCCATGTACTGCACAAAGCATAAGCAACCAGACAGTGGTTCGACTAATTTCAAGGAAGGCGCAGAGTTCAGGCAATCCACTAGCTAGAATCAACATCTTCATGAAAGGCGCGACATACGCATCAAGGTCTTCAACTTGATTTAGTGGTGCAATGACTGCAACATAGTCATCAGGGCGAACGACAACCAGGGCGCCTTCGGGACCCACTCCATAATATGCACTACCATTTCCCTCGAAGCCCCCAGTGACATCGGTGTCATCAATAAGCACCCTAACAGTACCTCAATCAATCATGACACTTGACATCATAATTTAAGGACTCACTTCGACCAATGACAGCGAAGAAGCACTGGTAACCGCAAGAAATCAAATGTTTCCTTCCGGCCTTGGCTGACATCAAAACGTGAGTCTACAGAGCCCTCGCCAGGTATCGCATAATGATTCAGGAAGCTCTCGGGTTTTTCAAAGAGTCATCTCTACCCTCGTGCACGAGTGACTCAAATTTAACAAGGTCGCAATGATAGTCGCAATGACCGAAATGTCACAGCGTGCGGTTGTCGATGATTAAGTGTGTTGAATACAGCAATGCAGCAAGTGACTACACACTCGTTACAACTTTCGGGGGTCTATACTGTTATCGAGTCAAGTACTGTTGATCAATTCATCATAGCTATTAACTTTGGTACATATCTACCATGCTACTAGACAGCAATAGCCGCCTCTTCTACAGCAAGTCGCACGATGATAATACATCGCGCGCGGGTATCAAGATAAATGTACGAGATACATGCGTCTATGACGTCTTCACAGTTTCGCCTTCGCCTGCCTTTCATACTCCTCCACCAACACTCGCCTCAACACCTTCCCAGTTGGCGACTTCGGAATCTACCCAGGAGCTCAATCAACCCATTCCCAAGAATGAAACAAAAACCCACCGTCTCCACAATCTTAATGCCACCCCTCAACCACTTGTACCGACTCAGCCGCTCCTGCACCCACGAATCGAGCCGTGCCACGACCTCTTTCTCACCCAGCGCCGTGCCCGTCGGGGATAACACGATCCATGCATGCGGGACGCGTTCGTCGCGGGTACGCCCACCCGAAACGCCCGCGACGGACACGTCAGTGATGAGCTTGTCCGGCTGCGCCAGGATCGTGTTCTCGATTTCGACAGGGGAGACTTGCATCCCTGAGATTTTGAGCGTGTCCTGTGAGGACGGGGTAAGTACAACACGAAACGAATAGGTGGTAGGGGCTTACCTTGGTGCGGTCTTCGAAGCTATAAAAGAGGCAGATCAGCTTAGCATAACTGGGAACATACCACACTCATCAGACCAACTTACAAAAGCACCCCGTCCTCATCGATCCGCATTTGGTCGCCCGTGCGCACCCACCCATCAACAAACGTTTCCCGTGTCGCCTTGTCATTTCCCTTGTATCCCAGCGCCGCAGCGCCCCCGCGGACGAGGAGTTCACCCGGCTCGTTCGGACCCGCAGGGGATCCGTCTGGACGGACAATGCGAGCTTCAACGCCGGGGACGAGAATTCCGGCAGAGCCGGGCTTGTTCTTGGCGCGCCCGTTGAGCATGCCAGGTATGGGCTTCATGGCGATGACCATTGTCTACCTCAGACAATGAGGTGATGGGGTCGGAAGGGATGCAGAGGGTAGGTCACTTACAAATTCGGACAGGCCGTAGCCTGTGAAATTTAACAGTAGTACCAGGGATCTACGCACGATGAGTGGATAACGCACCTTCGGAGACTCTTTCCATGTCTTGGAAGCGAGCGGAAAGCTGGTTGGCGAGCTGGGACGGGAGGTATGCGGCACCGCTGGCGACTGACTTGACCGAGCTCATATCAGTAGTTTTGAAGCGCGGATGGTGAACGAGCTGGTGTATAAGTGAGGGGACGAGAAATATGGTCGTGATATGGTATCTGCATCACGACTCAAGCATGAGTACCGGTACTTGATTCTGTAGCATGTATATACCAAAAGCACTTGGTATGCACTTACTTCGGGACGCTGTCGAAGAATGAATCGATGTTCCACTTGGGGAGCATGAACAATCGTTGAAGGTTTAAGGAAGGAATAAAAACCGGTCGTGTAGAGGCCGAGAGTGTGATGGACCGGAAGGACACTAAACGTTACCCGAAGCCCGTCAGGGGTATTCCATACTGGTGGCTGGCGAAGGAGTTAAGGAGACAAAGAAAGTAATGGCATCAGACAGACATACAGCTTGAACTTTAGCCATTTCCATAACGTTTACCATCGTTCCAAGGGTGGAACACGTGATATTTCCGTGGGATGTCATGACGGCTGTACAATGAGGTCAGACAACGTTGCGTAGTGTGTCTATGTCTCTGCGGTTCGGGACGTGGGACCAGAAAAAGAGATACGTGCCTTTAGGAGGGCCGCTTGTCCCACTGGAATAGATCAGGTAGGCCAGAGTGTCCTTGGTTGCATGACGGACTGGCAGTCGTGGAATACCATTCTCTCGAGCGGAGGAGACGAGCTGGTCAAAGCTTGTGTAGCCTTTGATCTCCCCTTCTAGGAGGTAAATTCGACCAGCTGGGAGACCCGAAGTCAAAGCGAGCGGCAATAGAGAAGGACTGGCAAAAATCCGAGTCGCCTGGGCCAGCGAATTGGCGTGTTTGAACTCATACGGTGTTGAGTAGGATGAGAACAACACAAATGGGACTGTGATAACGAGTAGCGAGTGCATCAGGGCGATATAGTCCTGAGGAATTTTATCACTTTAAAGTCTCAACTAAAAATGGGAAGGAAACGCACCGAGCAGTTCTCGCTCAGAATGCCTACAAGCTCTCCAGTTATCTGGACGAAGACCTAGGCCACCCTGTGCTACATCAGTGCCCAGTGCAGTAGCGCCATCGCGAACACGCTCGACAAACTCCCTGAACGAACGCCGCTGACCAGTAGTCACATTCACAAACAAAGTGTAATCTGGCCACTCCTTCTGGTCAGGTCGGTTGAAGAGCAGGTGGTGAACATTCGATTCGGGGACCTTCGGAAGGTCAGGGAAAAGTGACTTGTAGTACATGCTTGAACACCGAACGGGGCCCGAGGCTTCAGGAATCAGTATTATTGCGTTGACTGAGGATATGAAACGCTATTAACGACAGACCTTACACGATGAGATGTACGTGTGCCAACTTCGAGCGCGATGATCACGCCGGAATTCAACTATAGGATCAACAGATCATCAACTATTTTACTCGGGACGGACCATTGCATTAAGCTTCTGATGGCGCATGATATGCATGACAGCGCAATGACAGCGAACTGCATACCCACGCGTCACCTGTTCCGGTTCGTCGATCATGGTGTGACCTCGGCTTGTTCCTAGGCATTAAATTAGATCGTTACCGCAGGTTACCCTAGGTTACCGGTTACCCCCCGATGACAAGACTAATACCCTAATTTCTTAAAGCTAAGAGAGTATTTTGAAATTTGCAGATTCGGACAATGATTTCCTTTGCAGGATGTCAGCGCCGTACTGAGAGGTACTTGGATCAACAAGCTTACTGCCTAGATTCACTAATACCATAAACGAGCAATTGCAAGTGATCTATGGACGTGAGCTCGCGATATTTCACCGTCATATGTGATTCATATTCAGATGACAGACCTTTGATACACTGTAACTGCCCCGGGGCACTTTCCGAACGATCCCTTGGCATTTGCAGACGTTGAGAAGACCTGTCCCCAAGCATCTGTGTCCAGTCTGCGCAGACTTCACATAGACCGACCATATCCTCCATGACCTCCTAGAACACTAATTGCAGCTGGTATCGAACCGATCGAGACACAGCTAGGTGGAGCTACGTGGAGGTGCCAAAACTGTTGTCGAGTTAGCAACCTCCAAAGGTTGGCGGCAGGGGCGTAAACTTAAATGGAATACCATTGGTAATGGTACCATGCTATTATGGTGAGTTCATACCTGTGCATCCAAGAACAGGTACAGCTACATGTTTCTGGTACTTAGACGAGACAGAATGACAGAGGAGCATGTCAATTGCCACCACCGCTCGCAATATGACTGGGGTGCGACTATGGCACCCCACCCTTGTCGCAGTCCTGCAACACCCAGAGCTCTCCCTATTTGTGCACAAGCCTAAGCAGAGTAGGGTGGCCCTTATTTATATTTAATGCATATCCCCTGCATCTTCAACACTCTCGTGCACCTGCCATAATTTCCTTGCGTCACGAGCCTCCGGTATCGGCTTATCGGAAACCTGTGTCTGGTAATAGGGTGCTCTACAACTTCATGGAACCTTTCGCTGCAATGCCGCTGGCGCCCAGGGTGGTCCACCAATTACTGCTAGCAGTCTTGACTGCAGTTTTCGTTTTCGTCTGCGGTGTCCGTTTGACTATTGTAGAAAGTCCAGAACTGACGCCCTTCCTCCCTCTACCTGGTGGGGTAGGTGCGTCTAGTTCGCTACACTCAGCGCGTTTTCGTTTATTCGATGCACTAGCACCAGGCGTGGGCAACGGCCTGAATCCCTTGTCCCACTCTTTTCGATGTAGCCGGAACACAGGCCATCGTCGCCCTAGCATCTGTGACCTGCCCGAGTGCCGCGATGACAATCAGGAACTGGAGAGGGGGATAGAAGACTTACACTGGAGTGTTCCCCTCCCTGGATAACAACATCAAGTTCTTGTTTCACGAGGTTGCGAAGAGCGGGGCGTTTACTACTGGTTAATTTGTGTTTTGCTGCCAAGTGTTGTGTGTCTCGTATGTAGGGACCTGGGTGAGATAGTAATAGAACCTGAGGACAGTTAATTATGAGCTACCGGAATGGGAATTACAGATACCTTGAGATCGTTGTGCACGGCGTGTCCCACTAGAATGCGGTCTTTGGTGAGAGCTGCGACTGTTTTCTGCACCTCTTCGAATGACTTGGCTAGAGGCAGTGTCAGATCAGCTACCACAGGGTGCAGAGAGTAAAACCTACCTACCTCTGACCATATCCGAGGGGCGTATCCCACTCCACTTGGTCCGATAATCCACAACACGCTCCTTCTGCTTCACGAACTCGTCCATCTGCACGGCACCCCAATAGTTAACAATACTAACGCGTGCAAGCGACGACTCCTCGCCGTCTATGCCCACGCCCACCATCTCGCAATCGACTGCAAGGTATTTTCCTGGACTGGTCGTTCAAAATGAGATTACACGGTGGCTACCTGTGAGAAAATGACGCACTCTACCTGGGTAGACGTATGCTCTAGCCGTCCGAAAATCATCTTGCGGAGCGTCGCAAGGGACTCGCCATTTTTAGTTTCTTGGGTCGTGAAGTCCACAGCGAGCTCGGAGTCGATGGTTGGAGTGGGTTGTCCTCTTGGAAACGCCGTAGATGTGTCTTGCAACGAGGGAACGGAGTTTAGGCCTAGAGATGCGGGCCTCAACTTGGATCTGTCGAGCTTCCGCCGTTTATTGGGTAGACCGTTATCTCGCTCTGACTTTTTGATCGTGGAGAAAGGCTGCAGGAGGATACTTGCCTTTTTCGCAGATACCTTCGCCGCAGATGCACTCATGGTAAGAGGAAGCTTATCTCGACCCAGCGTGTGACTTTCCCTGACTATAATCACGTCAGTAAGGCATGTTTTCTCAACCTTCCAATATGATTATGTACATACATTCTTGTCTTCTGTAGTCTTTCATCTTCTCGAGCTTGCTTGTCCAATCATGCCTTACCTTTCAACCGTAAATGATTTGGTCGCTGGCAGCGTCGGTGGTGCCGCCCAAGTCCTGGTAGGCCAGCCACTTGATACCGTCAAGACACGCGCACAGATCGCTCCCAGTCAGTTAATCGTCCGTAATCAAATGTCTAATATTGACCCATAAATTGCAGAGGGAATGTTTGTACGTGAATACATGGGTTCAGAGGTAGACGGCTCACGGCCGGCTTAGAAAGGACCTATGGATGTTCTCGCACAAACTGTTCGAAAGGAAGGTTTCTTCGCGTTGTACAAAGGTTAACCTTACGCATGATGTAATATCACATCATTCCGAAAGCTCATTCTGCCGCAGGGATGGCCAGCCCCCTCCTCGGAATAGCTGGAGTCAACTCCTTGCTGTTTGCTTCATACGTATACTCTAAGCGCATCGTTTCACCGTTCCCACAGTTATCTTTGAAGGAGATCGCCCTTGCAGGCGCAATGGCTGGAGCTGCAAATGCTATCCTTGCTAGCCCAGGTTTGTTGCACCATTTGCCTTTGCGACTCAGTTACTTCAACTCTTTGTCATCCAGTCGAGATGTTCAAAGTTCGCATGCAAGGCCAATATGGTGCTGCCACGGATAAGAAATTGAGAGATGTCGCGAAAGAGATGTGGAGGGACTGGGGGTTTCGGAAAGGTGTCATGAGAGGTTACTGGGTATTCACACATGTCGCGTTCCTGCAGGCAATATGGCTGACTAGTGTTCCAGGTCACTGTTGCGAGAGAGATACCAGCATACGCAGGGTATACCATCCTTATTTATCTTGACCAGAAGTTCTAATATTGAGAGGGTATTCCAGGTTTTACACAGGTACTAACCATTGCCAATGGATAACTGCTTCGGTCTGACTCCATTTAGGGTTTGAATTCTCGAAGCGGAAGTTCCAGAGTAAGTATGGGGACAAAGTACCCCTCTGGGCCCTCCTTGCTAGCGGTGCGACTGGCGGAGTATGTCACACGACTAGATGTTTCTATATATTCTGAAAATTCTGCAGATTGCATATTGGCTATCCTGCTACCCATTGGGCGAGTTACGGAGCGTCAATTGAGAAAGTTTGCACTTACGTTGACTTTCCGGTAGACGTTATAAAGTCTCGCATTCAGTTGCGCCAGACTCCACCGACTGGCAAGCCCTGGCAGTACATGAACAATGAAATCAGGATGGTTGTCGCTGAATCGGGAATGTAAGATTTGCCCCTGCTGGTATTCAAGTTGTTATTTTGACCAACATGTTACTAGATCGGGGCTTTTCCGCGGTCTGTCACCATCATGTAAGTGGAGTCAATTCTTTGATGTGCACATCGCGGGACTTATGATGATGGTCCATGTGCATCAGTGATAAGAACGTTAGGGTGTTCTTGCTTTTACAAGTCTCGTGATACTCACAACTTCACTAGTATACCCGCTGCAGCGAGCACATTTGCGGCGTTTGAGTTGGCCCGAGGTGAGCTGAAAGCTCTCGATCACGAAATACACCGCTTACGACTTCTTAGAATTTCTTATGGAGTCCACAGGAGTGTAAGATCGAGACACTGGCAATGGATGTACGATATGCGGATGAAATGCTACTAATACAATTATCCCTGGAATACATGAATGACTGGTGAAGATACGGCAAATCCCTCGTGGCATGGCTTGTGACACTCTAGACGGCTTCGACGACTTGGTCGAATACGACAGTGGCTGATGACCTGTTCAATGTGCGTGAGTTAATGGCACAGGTCAAAGGGGTGCGTCCCTCACCTTCGTTCAATGCCCTAAACGTTGCACGTGCATCAATATTACATTGACGTAAGATCACGAGAAGCACTCACATCCTCTTTCCAGCTAAGTTGCGCCTCCAGCTCCGTCAAGCCAAACATGAGGACGATACTAAACTCCTGACGATAGAACTGCAGTCCTGCATAACCCCGTCGCGGACTGATGGTGTGTGCCACTTTCGAGGTGTCCTGCGTGCACGCTGCACAAGGTCGAGAACATGCCTGAACCCCCTTGAGGATCAGCGATGCGCGGCCTTTGGAAAACGCCCACACGCACCTGGTTCAGTGTCCGTCCAGCGCGGATTGGGGCTGTCACCCCTGTAGCACACGATCTCCGTGGCAATCATATCGCATGAAGAGCGGTCTACTACCTCCGTAATGAAGTCCTTGCGGAACTCTTTCGTCTCGGATACGGCCGTGCCCTGCAATGTGCGTGTGAGTATTGCCTCCCGTGCACTAACGAGTCATCACCTTCGTCAGAACTGCGCTGAATGCATTGGGCAGGACCGTCCTGCCTGATGGGCGTGGGATCGCCATACTGGCACGGAGCTTGTGTTGAGGATCATTCCTGTCGAATTGTGTTGCACAACGTGTGCCATACGTGAACTTGGCGACACGAGCAGAGACGCGATGATCCAGGAAAAACGCGACCGCGCCCTCCGCGACTGCCTTGGCCCTGTCAATGTTCCCAAAAACTGGTCACCAAGGTTCGTTTCCTTTTTGGAAAAGGACTACGTACGTATGGCTATCAGGCCGACAGAAATTGAGATCCAGTGGTCTTAGATGGCTTTGTAGTCGCGTAAAGAGCCATTCACTGGCTGCGAAACCGCCGACGAGGAAAACGGTCTGAGGCCTATTCAGTTAGGTGCAGCAGGCACGGTAAAAGATCTTACGCTGATAGTCTTGGTCGCAACGTGGCGCTGCTCCTCGATAGCTTCGATTACAGCTTCTGCAGACGGCTCGAATAACGGTGCTACGTCGGACCTGAGAGGAAATGAGTTCATTCTAATGGACAGGAAATAGATACCCTTACCCCATCAACTTCAACTGCCCGGACCTGATGTTGAAATTAATGTCCTTGTCCTTGATGGTGCCAAATTTGATGTATGCTGGGTCGTTCTCGTTGCCGAACCGTAGCTTGGTTGTTGTGTCGAAAATGGTAGGCCATATGAGAAATCATGTCGTCGCCTCCGAACTGCGATCCACGCAGTTTCTCTGCAACCCATAAGCAAACATGCACACCTCAGAACAATCCGAAGAGTACCTTGGAGCATCATCCGAGCCCTACGGCTTACGAAGATGGATCCTTGTAAGCGGCCTGGCGAATTCTGTTCAAGTAATGACATGGAGAGTTATATTGATCAGACTTACACTCTGCAGGTGCGATCTCCTCGAAGGATGGCGCTGTTGTCATGTGGTATGCACTGACGTCGATCGTTCCTCCACCAGCGTCGACAATAATCACGCCCTGGTCGTCCTGAAATTTCTTGTCAGCTTCTTGCCTAAAGACTCCATCTCAACCTTACTTGAAACCCGTCGACGGCAAGACCACTGCCAAGGCAATAGTGAAGACTCGCCTCGCCCTCTGTGACGAGATGGATCCTTGACCGTCCATCTGGCGTATCAGGCACGAGGCCCGCCATGACCGCTGCATTGCGGATCTGCGCCTGCTGCGGCCCCTCCCATCCATTCGGGTGGCTGAGCACAAACTCAGTCGTGTGCTCGACGGAACGCAGCATGTCTGCGCCATTTGCCTGCGACTCCTCGATATACTTCTCCGCGCATTCATGCAGGTAGCGCATGAAGTCGGCGAGGATTTGCACGGCCGTCTTGTTCGGCGGGAGAGGCGGGATATCTTGATCTGTGATGTGAGAGGACACCATTGTTTTAGGACGGAGATGAAGCTTCCACCTTTTTGTGACTGAAGGTTAGTGAACGACGTGAGGACTGGTGGGTTGGGGGACCAACCATTCCATTTTCACCCATCCGTTCTCTTCAATTTCCTCTTCGATGTATTCCTGCATAGCTTCGGCACCTACGGCACGCACAGCGCCGTCTGGGTCGTAGCATATGATGGACGGAATCTTGCAGTCCCCTCCGACGTGTTCTTGCGCTGGGAATCTGTGTCTGAGTAAGCAACCAATTATACAACTCTTAGAAGCGCTATCCCACCGATTTACGCCTTGGATGACAGGGACTTGCCCAGGGTCGAGGAAGCAGTAAGAGACGCCACTAAACGTCGTCCCGACATCAAACGCAAAGACAAGCTTGCGACACGAGCCGGTGAATGCTTGTCGAGGTGGCATGGTTTAGTTGTGTGCGATATGGCGGATAGGTCATCTGTTATAAACAATCCTCAACGAGATACACGAGGCAGTGTGACCTCGTGCACTCAATGTATAAGCACATGTTCTGTGGCAGGATCATTGAAGGTTTGATCAGCGCCCTATGTATTAGGTACACAGGAGACTGTGACATCGAAGTATAACGAAACCATCATGAATCTTGGAAGAGGGCATATTGTATTGTGCAAAAGGTGAAATCAATGACATGTTGGCAATTCAAAAGCTAACCCATAGATAGGAGCGTAAAATTACAACCTCAAGGAGCCAGGGTGCTGCGGTTGCCGCATAGCATGAGAGCGAGGTGGTTCTACAGAATGCCTAGACTTCTTCCTGCTCATCATCGTAAACTACCACTGCCGGAGTGCTGTAAATGCAGTAAGAACTATGAAAAAAAAATACATCAGGATGTGAACTTGCCGTATTTCCTCTCCCTGGGATGCAGAGGTTAGGCTAACAGCGTCAGCAGGAAAATGATGACTTACCCCGTCTTCCCAGCTGATCACAGCCTTCAATTCTGTCAAACCGAAGAGAAGAATGACTTTGATTTCCATCGCATAATACGTGGAACCTTCGGTGGAGCGCTTAGGGGTGAGTTTCTGGGCGATTTTCGATGTGTCTGCGCGAACGGTGCATAACGTCGAGAATGAACCTAGTTCATCCGGTAAACATCACTGCGATTTACAACGATGTGTCTTACTTCGCTCCGTATCCATCCATTCCGGTTGGGGGAGGAGGCCCCTGTACGACATGATGCCAACTTCGACGTTGTTACACGCCGCCTGATTATACCGTCGGATGGCAAACGTCTCATTGAATTCTTGCTGTTCAGAGACACGTGTTCCCTGCTGCGCTTAAGCAACGAATAGTCAAAAGCAAGTAAAGACCTACCTTAGTCAGTATGGATGAAAATGCATGAGGCAGAGCAAGAATTCCCGAGGCACTTCGGAAAACTTGCTTTTGCCTAGCGCGATGTTCCATATCGAACGGGTTGAATGGGACGCTGCATTCGGTGCCGTACGCGTAACGAGCCACGCGGGACGACACGAGGTGATCGATGAAGTACGACACAGCGCCATCGGCAACAGCTTTATTACTGAAAGCAGTGTCCATGAGCTTGAAAATCTGTGTTGGTTAAAGGTGCTCACCAGTGGTTATCTGGTCGACTGAAGCTAATGCCAAGCGACTGGAAGTACTTTTGCAACTTTGCGAACATCCAGTCGCTCGCAGCAAAACCACCGACGAAAAATACAAACTTCGGGTGGAAGGGCGGTTCAGTACTTTTCGATAGCGCAGTAAATGACCAACTTACTGTGATCGGAGTGCCTGAGGCATTTCTCTGGATTTCGAAAGCTTCGATGATGTTGCTGATGGAAGGTTCAAAGAGTGTTGCTACATCTTGTCTTTTTAGTAGCCATGCGTTAGATATCAACGGTCACGAAATACTGGGCTACAAGACTTACCCATTCAATTTAAGTTGACCATTGCGGATATCGCGCTGAGGATCCCTGTCACGGACGGTACCAAACTTGATGTAAGATGGATCTTCCGGGTTGCGAAACCTGAGCTTGGTGGTACTGTCGAAGATGTCCGTCATTTGCTGGACTATGTCTGGTGTGCCGAAACGACTGCCGGATAGTTTTTCTGTCAAGTCAATTCAACGATGACATAACAGGGCAAGCAGGATCATGCTGGCAAACCTTGAAGAAGGCCATGAGCACGGCGGGTCACGAATACAGAACCCTGCAGTCGACCTAAGGAACAGAGAATAAGACGTGGTCGAAGAATTTTATATCACTTACATTCGGCTGCAGCAATCTCTTCGATAAGTGTCGGGGATAAAGTCATCGAGTAGGCACTAAGATCGAGGGTCCCTCCTCCTGCATCTATGACGACAACACCTTGGCTTGCCGAGGTATCCTCCTCTTCGCCATCTCCAGAGGCAAGTATCGGCGTATTTGAAAGCGTATCTGAGGCCAGGATATTAGCGACACAGTAATGCAAGCTCGCTTCTCCCTCCGTCAGCAAATGAACACGGGCCATGCCCTCTTCTGTGCTGGGAATGAGACCGCCAAGGACGGCAGCTAGCCTGATCTGTTTCTGCTGTGGGCCTTCCCAGCCATTTGGATGGGTAAGGACGAACTCGATGCGGTTCTCGACGGACCGCCAAAGATTAGGTCCGCTTGCATGTGTCTCCTCGATATAGCTGCGTGCACAACGAAAGAGGTACTGCATGAAGTCGCCGAGAACCTCGACGGCATTTTTGCCTCGCGGAAGAGGTGGGATGTCGTTATCAGTGATATGGGAGGCGGCCAGATGCCTGGCCCGCAGGTGAAGTTTCCACCTAGATGTTTGACACGGTAGGTGAAGCGAACACTAGTATACGTTAGACATACCATTCAAGCTTCACCCATCCTTCTTCCTCGGCCCTTTCGATAATATGCTCCTGTCGAGCTTCAGCACCGATAGCACGGACAGTCCCACTCGAATCGTAGTAAAGTATAGAAGGTATTTTAGAGTTCCCTCCGCTGTGCTCTTGGGCTGGATATCTGATATTCGCAGTAGTCAGCAACAAACCAGGACTGTTGTATTACGAAGACAAACCTAGTGACAGGCTCGATCTTAGGAACTTCTCCAGGGTCGAGTATACAGTAGGAAATCCCACTATATGTAGTGCCCACGTCAAAAGCAAGGACCAACTTGCGAGATAGTCCGCGATACGGTTGACGGGGAAGCATATCGGTCAAGTGGCTGATGGATGAATGTCGTATGTTCCTCAAAACGTCTTATACCTCATGGTAGAGGCCGCATGGATGCTTATCCAAATGTCCGTTCACAGCATTCACCATATCACCTCCCAACGTTCAACGAATGGTGACCTAAGATAGGGGTAGCGGGCGTTCCGCACATGTCAATCGTGAGGTTCGATGCGGGTGATCTGCGCAGACCAACTTGACTTGGGCTGAACATTGATGCGGTTCCTGATTGTTCTAGATAGAAATAGTAAGCAGATTAACGGACAACAGGACTAGTGGATGCCTCGAGGTCACCCCACAAGACCAAGATCTGCGGCTTCTGGTCAAGATGACGAATGAATTGGGCAGATAGACGGCTTCGGTGATGCAAACGACCTGCCAGTGCGCGGCTGTGCGCCTCGGATAAGTAACTTAGGGATGTAGCGTCTTCTGTGTGGGATCTATTGTCAGAGCACTTTTTCACGGGCTTACTGCGGTGATTGGCGTCGCAGGATTGTGTTGGTTCCAGCTAACCTACGACAGCAGGAAGTTTGGTGGATGGTCATATCCAGACGGAGATCATAACATGATACATTGTAGTAAGTATATCGCACTAAGTGCCCTGAGACAAACAACACACGTATCAGGTCATATACCAGTGTTGCATAATGGACGTAATATGCCCGGATTGTCGCGGACCATGAATACAATTAATGGAGAGAACACACAGCAGCACAGGGTGCAACAGCATGCCGCTGTGACCACAGCATAATTTCCAGGCGTGAAGACACAAAATGACTGCAGACACGCATACACGCGGTCCGCAATGTGATATTTGGAACGTTACCGCAGCGTGGCTCCGAGGTCACCTTGATGGGCGTCGTCCCGGACACGAGGCAGAAATGAACATGCTTCTACCACATGGCAAAGCCCTTCAAGATGTGGTGAACGTTCATTACCTCGCAACCAATACAACCATGAACTCGTCGACATACGGGTTCTTACCATCTAAAGGCTTTACTGTACCCATTGCCCTTGTCAGCGCTAGCGTTCCTTTTCTCATGTGCTTTTTACGCCGACCTCGCGCACTCTTTATCTGGCTGAAATCTCTGCGTTTCTTCCGCGACATTGAAACTGAAGAACGGCTACTCGACTTGAAGAAGAAATGGGAGGATGAGGAGAGGAAGCGCATAACGCTAGAGGACAAGCTGAAGAAACTTGAGCTGGAGCAACAAGTTTCGGCCCAAGAAAAGAGCACACTGAAAACGGAAATTGTCCGGCTTACGGCCGCTCTGAAAAAAACCAGCAAGGAAGCCGATGAAATTCAGGTCAGGTTACGACAGGAGCAAGTCGAGAGAGAAAAGGTTCAGCAAGAACGCTCCAAGCTTCAAGATGCGCATCAAAAGCTGCAGCAAGATCTCAGCTCATACCAGCAGCAGCTGATGATGCGAGAGACTGAGAAGAAGGCCCTGAGGAATGAGCTGCAGGCCCTACAAGCCAAGTTCAACGATCAGACCACCCTTCTTAGCGACCGCACGCGGGAGCTTACGGGGTGCACAAGCATTCCTGAGCAAGGCCGACGTGCTCTCGGGAGCAGAAGTCATCAGACTGGTCGACGAACTCAACCAGGAGATCATGCAGACGGCAGCTTTCATCTCGGATTCCTTCGATTTCGCTCGGAAGCCTGAACACAGAGACGAGATCAAGGAGGCCAGCGCACGGACCAGTGAGCTGATTGGGCCTGCCATGACGTCGCTTCTGGGTACGGTGCAGCACGGAGAAGACCCTCTCTTGATCCAGATTGCATTGCAGGCTGCCACAGTCGAGTTCTCTCGTTGGATCATAATGACCTGGGACTTTGACGGCTTGCAGGCTGAGCAACCATTGGCAGAGATCTATAACGACGTTCGGGAAACAGGTAAGGATTGATGTATATCTAGAGAAGTGAATGTACTTAAACGCACGACAGAAAGCCAGGCAGTCAGCGGCCGATGGCGCGCTTTGACTCGGTCTCATGCGCAGAAGGTTGCTCTGCAGGAATCGGATGTACACTCGACAATGGTTGCGCATATCAGCGATACCCTCGTGGTCGTGATGATTGCAGCTGGTTGCACCAAGAACTACGAAGATGCGTATCGCGAGTTCACCATGAAGTTCGGCGAACGCGTGTCGAACATTGTCCGCATGGCAGCAAGGCTTAACAGAGCCATGGGGGAGGAAGTGACGTCGGCAGATCTCTGGCCCACTCATTCTGCGGCCGGAGAGAAGTTTGACACGGAAACGATGAAAGACTTCGACGAGGGGAGCGGGGCGCAATCTGGCGTTGTTTTGTGCACGACTGCGCTGGGCTTGCAAAGGTCGGAGAAGTTGGACATGGTGAGAGCGCAGAGTACAAGGCGGTGACGCTCGCGAAACCCAAAGTTGCGCTTGAAGCTATCGCAGATGGGATGGAGAGGGAGGCGGAGTTGTCAGGAGACTAACTTACTTTCAGAACAATGTCACCACATATTTAATTTGTTTGACTTTTGTTCATCGCTACCTTAAATTATTCGTGACCATTCTATTGATGATTTATTGACGCAGTGAATAAGTGATTGGCAACCTCCATGCCTGCAGGAGCAGACGTACCACGATTCGAATGCTTTTCTGCTCACTCTCAGAAAGACCCGAACTCTATACACGATTCACTGCCTTAACTTGTCACGACACTAGCACTTGCGGCCATCATAACTTAGGCGCAAAACGAAAAACAGAGTTGTAGATAGCATGGTCAGTTTGTGGTCAGTTCAACGTCAAGCCGTTGACGATGTGCTTATGTAACCGGCTTTGCTTCATTCGTTTACTCGATCGACTTGTACTAGTACCGCGACTTAGGGGAGAAGGCTACTTACTGTTCTCAGAAGTGGCACCAGCACTAAATGGCAAAGGGTAAATCAGGACCCCCATACACAGGGCGCTCTGCAGAATATGTCGTTGTCAGCTGCCCGTGGGGGATGAACCGCGTCACAAAGAATCGCGTCGCGCAGGACTTTGATCGTCTTGCTGCGTGGATTCAATATGTCCTCCAGGACAAAGGTGTAGATGCAACTGTTGAATGTATATTTCAAATGGGGACGGTGAGTATCGTGCCAACTTGAGTTAGAATCCCATCTAATGACGGCAGAGAGATGAAGTCATTGTCCAACTCCCACTTGGGGCAGATATTCAGCCACTTCTTGGGGAGCATAAGTGGGCAATCATCTCGAAGAAGTGGGATGGGGATCCAAATGATGGCAGAGCCTCCTCTTTATTTGAATATAATTTTCGCAACAACGGCGACCCAAGTAATCGTGAGTTTAGGCGTCTTGGTTTTATTTTCGTCGTACGTCTAACCCATACCTTTAGACAACTGGGCAGAAGAATATCCTAGCCCCCTTCCTCCAGGGAGTGTCCCTGCAAAGTCCCCGTATCCAGAGCCAGGCTGGGCTGAGCCCCCTAGCTCTATCCGTAGTCTCGTCCTTCCAGTACCACCTAGGCCACCGACACCTGTCCCAGAATCTGAGCCATCACAAATCCCAATCCCAATCCCAGTCCAAATCCCAATCCCAGTCCCAGTCCCTGCGTTTCAAGGAACGACACCTCTACCTCCCGTTTCTCCCCCCACAGCACCTGCTAATGCAACTGTAAGCTGTCTATGGTTAGAATTCGTGATCGTCTGGTTAAATACATATAGTCTGCATTCAGACCTTACGAACCTCCTACGCAACACCCCGCTCATGGAACTTTCATCGACCAGATAAATAAGCCAAGGAACCTTTCTGTGGACCAGCAAAGCCACCAGTCTAGTCCAGGCGAAGGCGAACATGCCCCAGCCCTGAAATATATCAAAAAGCTAGATCCCTACCAGGAAGGTATGTCATCGCTTCTTGCACTCACACATATTGTTGCGCGTGTAACCATTTTTGCAGAGGAAGACACTCAGGCGCTCTTGCGAACCCCTCCACGAGATTCTCAGAGTGACTCCAAGCCCATCAAACACGAACTTGTCAAGAAAGAGCTGGACTTTGAACCCGGTAAATGACTAGTGTGCTGGTACCACTTCTACTCTCCTTAATGCAAGCAGAATACCAGCCGTCTTCACAACTAATGGACGCCATCAGCAGTTTGATACAGGAGCAGGACGAGGAACAGAAAGCCGTTGTCTGTGGGGGATCTGGCGGACCGCTGCCAGGGCCATGTACGTGAATTGGTTGTCGTGATATTGCGCAGTTCGTGATTTGGTCCACTAAACAGCTACTTCCTATCAGCCATCTGCAGAGCTCATGGACGCAATTGACAGTTTAATTCAGGAGCAGAATCTCGACCAAAAGCCCGTAACCAAGGAACGCCAACAAAACTCTCGTGCGTCATCTTTAATCTTACTAACGAGCCTACGTGACGTCGGGTACCTCAGACTATCAACCATCTGCCGAGTTGACTGATGCGATCAACAGTCTACTTCAACAGAGTGCAGCCAGCGACGATGAGAAGAAGCCGGTTCCGGACCCACCACGTGCGCATTCTCCTCTTATCCTCAATCATGCTATTAAGCCCAAGTCCAGCGCGAAGCAAGAGAAAAAATATGGACGGAAGAAATCCAGGTATGTGATACAGCATCTAAATACCAAATGACAGGATAAAGAAGCATGCACAGGGACGAAAAAGATCAAGTTGGAAGAGGCGTAGAATCTCCCATTGTACTTTCGGATGAGACCATTTACTCATCCATGCTGTTAACCACTGTCTCCAGCGCGACTTTTGGTTTCAATAAGAGCTTGATATCCCACTGTTTGTCTCCTGATGTGGCCAGCCTAGTGATTCGGCTCAGGCCAAGGTCCGTCGTGCACAGCACCCGGACACCGCCAGTTGCGGGGTCTCCGTCTACGTACGCATCCTCCATCTCCTCCGCAGAATACGCGAACCCACCAGGCACCGTTGACGGTTTCAAGTCGGCAGACGTGATCTCCTCCATCACGATCTTGTTAAGCTGCGTGGCCAGCTTGAAGAGGAGTACGATCCTGTCACTTAACTTTTTCTCTACTGATGCGTGAAGTACATCTGGTGCTGCGGAGCACCCTGCAACAAGCATGATGCTGGAGAGACGTCCCACGAGGTGTGGTGTAACCGCTGCGATGACCTGGCTCTCTTCGTAATTATTGTGGGCATATGCACTCGTGAGCGCCCGCCACCTCCCTGATATCGCTTGTGCCTCTGGAATACAAGCGTTATCATATGCACTCTCTATCACGCACGCTGTTTACACTCACCACCTCGTCGTATTCTTTCATATGTGCTGGTGAATATTCCGCTGGCATCATCGCCAGATAGCGTCCACGAGCAAATCACAAACTCGAGGATTTGGACGAAGCACGATTGGAACGTGATCTGGATGAGAAGGGGGTCGTCTTTGTGCTTCTTGGTGACCAAATAGTGCGTGAGTGTCTGCCCAAACAATCTCGTGACCACTGCGCAGGCATTCTCGTCCCTGGCTCCACTTGACTCGAATGAAAATGCGTCCACCATCGATTCTGCCATGTAGGCGGCGCTCTGGAGCACCTCGGCATTGAGCCTCTGCAGCATGGAAATGACGTCGGCACCTGAGGAGGCGTCAGCTGTGGTCAAGAAACTCTGTGCGCCTTTCAGCTCGAAGGTGCGGTCGTTGAGGAGGGTATGCAGCTGGGATTCTTTCTCTGACATGGCTTTCAGTTGGTTCGTTGCGATTTCTAGATCGTGCCTCGTTGAAGTGAGCGCGGATTCGGTGTCTCGGAGCTTGACTTCGAGCGCGCGTGACATATCAGTAGACCCCTTCAAGCGTTCCATCGCCTGTCGCAAGCTTCGATTTTCCGAGCTGCACTTGCTCAGCTCTTGCTGCAGCCTTTGCACTTCGGTCTCCGCTTTGCCTCGAGCGGCATTTATCTCCCGGATTCCCGTCTCCGTACTGCTCCTTTCAATCCGCAGCGCCGCTTCAGCGTCTTTACGCGCACCAATTAACTGCTGTTTCTCCCTCTGACAGGTTTCTAACCTCTCGTTAGCCGATGCAAGGTCTTTCTTCAACTGCTCGAAGTCATTCTCCAGGTTTTGATTGCCTCGTACAGAGGTTTGAGAGCTCCTGCTGCGTTCAACAACAAGTGATGGTGCTGGAAGCCGCTGTGTGTCGCGCTGCGGGATGCGCCGTGGGGCTTCGGCGGCACCTTGAACACCCGGAGGGACGTTGTTGAGGTTGCGATTTAGTGAGGAGATGGCTGGAGATCCTAGGGGGCGGGACGAGCCCGAGCCCACCTGTAGCGGAGCCCTCATCTCATTACCCGGGACTCTAGTCTTTGTCGAAGCGCCTACCTCTTGTCCTATGGTCTGCGCATGCGAGGTGGTAGTTAGAGACATTTGACGGTGGGACATCGTCCTCGGCCGTCGCGAGGATCTTGTCTCATCCGTACGCTGCTCTGGGACTGTGTCCCTAGCCCTGGCTTTTGTTTCTTCTTTTGTGGGGTAATGACGCGTCTTGTGGACTGACGCCTCCTGCTCATCGCTTGTTCTTTTCCTCCCCTCCATGTCGTCTTGTGACCAGCGTCTATGATTTTCACCGTGTTTTGCCTCGGTTTTGGGGGTTGCGGTTGTTCCAGCAGAGGAACCTCTCCAGCTTGCGTAGGCAAGTAGGAGAAGTTGATTCATCATCATTGGGTCGTAATGAAAGGGGAAAAACTACGGAAGCCGCCAGATTTAACCCCATGACCTGGGTAGACGTACACCTCTCACGGCCATGTGTTTGCCGCGTTTTCGAATATCAAGCTAACGGTGATTTGGATTGATCGCTCAGAAAGTACGTCTGCTTGCGCTCTCTACATTTCAGGGGCCTTTTCTCACCCTCGTGATGAGAAGAGATAGATATTCGAAACACAAGGTAGGTATGTCACAATATACACAAGAAGTACAGATCATCACGTTCAGCATCCATGGAAGTTCTGAAATGCCCGATCTCAGTCGTCCAAGTTATCAACCACAGATTCCAGAGCGATCTTTGGCTTCAACAGGATCCTCATTCCGCCATTGGCTCCCTTGGAACGCTGCCACAAACCTATATCGGTGGGACACAGAACGCGGTTGTTTGCAGTGTCCTTGTGATGTTCACCGTCGTCGTACCCATCGTCCATGCACGCGGAGTCGAAGACCTGTGGCAGGTTTAATCACCACGACATCAAGACCCCGATCGGCGCTGTTACCGACAAGCCTATTGATGCGCATACCGGACTTCGCAAGCAGCGAGATCTTCTCGCTGAACTTGTGCTTTAGGGCATCACAAAGCTGTGATCGAGTGGCGTTGCAGCCCGCAACGAGCAATATGTCAGCGAGCCCGGCTATGATCTTGGATGCGGCTGCGGAACACAACTGAGCATCGTCGAGCTCGAGATGCTTAGAGAGAATATGCGCCAGTGCATCCCATGCTGCGGTGACTGTCTGGGCTGCAGAATGAGTTAGTAAACAGTCGCCTCGGTGCATTGGTAAAGCGCTTACTAGTGCCACTCTGGTCAGCTGTACCAAGTCTTTCCTTGCCTCCACCAGTGATCCATGTTGTCGAGAGCCAGCAGAGGTATTGGGAGACGTACGCCTGGAAAGCGATCTGGATGAGAATAGGATCCTCGCTATGACTCTTGGTGCACAGGAAGTGGACGAGGCCTGCACCAATGGTCACGCCTACTTGCTGGAATAGCACCGTCTCCTCATTCCCATTCACTCTTCCTTTCTCAAACCCGAAGGAGTCAGCCATAGACTCAGCCATAAATGTAACGTCTTGATGGATATCGGAGTTCAGCTTCCGGAGAGCGCTGACGACCTCGTTGCTCGAGGACATCATACCCGCGAGACGCTCTGGGATACAGTTTGCCAGCAGCGCGCGAACGTTGTTGAATTCTTGAATCAGGGATGTTGAGTCATTGCGGGCTGCGTTTGCGCTCTTGGCCTGCGAGCTAAGCTTCTTCATCTCGGCGAGCTCTGTATCTTTGGCCTCCAGCTCGGCTTCTAGAGCAGCAACCCGGTCTGTTAGACTCATCCTCACGGATTGCTCTTTCCGCAAGGACTCGAGTTGGGCGGAGCTCTGCGAGAGCTGCCGACGGTACACAAGCATGCTGCTCCTTGCCTCCAGTAGCTCGGCTTGAGCATGAGCAGTGGAACTATTCAGCTCCTCGAGGGTTTTCCGCATTTCCTGGTTCTGTTGCTGCATTGTCGCCTTGGAGACATCGTTCTTCTTCATGAGCGCTGCAACAATATCTTCTTTCTCCTTCTTCATCCGTTCGCACTCAGCGAGCGCCTCCTTGTTCCGTTGCCGCAGCTCTGCGATCTTGGCCTGAAGGCTGCTTGTCTCAGTCATGGACTGATTGAGCAGGGACTGCACCTGCTCCTCGAAACGGTGGTTCTCTTGCTTCGCCTCGTCGAGGAGCTTTGTCAGGTGCAGCACTTGCATGTCGTCATGCGTTCTGCTGCCGTCGAGGCTGACGACGTCTGCATCGCCATCGATGAACACGGGGGAAACTTCCTCCCATTCATTGCGATGCTCAGCTTGGGTGGCGTTTCGAGAGCCGGTCTGCATGGTAAGGACGGGTCTGGCGGTCGAGGACGATGATACCGTCCAGTATGGGACGCCCCACGTCATGGTTGAATTTGCGAGAGACGGTTGTTTAGGTTGTTCTGTGTGGGTAGGACGATGTGTATTACTAGTCTGCTGTGCAGTTCATTCCTCATGGACAAGACTGACCTCGAGGTGCAGGCTCCTGCGGGACATGCGTTCTTCATATAATGTGATTACTCCCAGGTTTGGGCTAGATCTCACATTCTGGGAGCCGATCTTACGTAGCTGAGGGTGAACAGCCCTGATATCAACCCCTAGGCCACGCAGCGTGCTTCTTGAAGTTCACACGCGTACATAATCCAGTGTGCGTGTCAATTGTACGAAGATCACCCGTATTCATACAATTGCATGCAGAGACGGCACAGTCCCCGGAACTCTGCGGCCATGAATACAATCATTGATCCCGTAAAATATGCAGACTTGTAAGCGTGAAGCTGCAGGTCTGCTGATTCTAGTGTGCGCAAGTTCCAATTGACGCGAAGCGTCAGAGGAGGAAGTTCGTCATCGAAAAACAATACATCTATGTGTTAGTTCTACAACGCATCTATGTCTGCTTACAGTAAATGAATGTTATGACACTTGAACGGTTAGCGCTTCGCTGTCTTGGCGGGAACAAAGAGCCACCAGATGCTGACAATAAATCTCAAGCCCGTGCCAACGCCAAGAGTACCAGCGGATCCTATTGCGTCGAGTAACGCACGTCCCAAAAACCCGCCCAAGAACAAGGAGCCGATAGCAAGGATCTTATGATCTCGGGAGATGACAAGCCGACGTATGTCAAAGAGCTTAGGGTCGGCCATCAACTCGCACCAAGTCGTTGTCAGTACAACTGGATAGCACACTCAGTATCGGATGCCAAGAGAATAAAGCAGAAAAGGCTCACCCGTCGTGGTGAACTGCGTGTTCGTTCTCTTTCCCATGATTCCTTGCAGACCCATGCTCGCGCTCATGAATCCAACACAGACAAACGACAGGGTGTTGCTCCACGCAGGGTCAGCGCGCGCATCTGCAACACTCGCCTGCCCACTCTTCCAGATGGCGATAGCGGCAGCCATGGTGAAGAGTGTCTGAATGAAAGTGCCGAGAGCGAGCCAGGCGCGTGTTTTGCAGCCCATCTTATCACCTAAGCGAGCGATGGTTGCGCCCAAGATGAATGTGATGAGTGAGCAGAGGGCTTGTTGATCCGCAAGATGGAAAGAATGGTCGTGTTGGCCATTGAAAAGGCGTGCGATGGCGAGTGAGAGCTGTTCGTAGATGTATGAGCACTTTGGCCATGTGGCTAGTATTGAAGGATGTCGAATCGCACCTGTACAGTGTTTCCGGTTTGAAAGGCACACCACACGAAGATGGCAGAGAAACAGACAGAATCACTGGAGATCAGAACAAATTAAGTATTGGGTACGGCCCTACGGGGCATTTCGGGAGACGTACATAAAACCTGTCATAAAACAATATGCAGATAAGGGAGCCGTGGCTTTCTCTGCATCGATGTCCGTGAAGAGGTACTTCTTCCAACTTGTGGGCGTCGTAGATTCGTTGTTCTCGATATCCCGCTTGTCCGACATGATGAGTAGCTAGACAGATCTTGACGGGGGGAAACTTGGGTTGTCGTCGGATTGAAATGGTTGCCCGCGAACAAGATATTTTAACACATGAGAGCAAGTTTCTCCTCCGACTGTGATCCGATGAAGACTACCACGGTCGGCGTTAGGCCCAGCTCACGTTTGGCAGAGACCAAGCAGCAGGGAACTTGAACTTGATTTCTATCAACGCAGCTGCGCTATCCTAATAACCACTACCGCATTGGTTCGGCGTTTAACAAGTACTGGTTCCAGGCCCTCTAAATCCCATTATTTTAAAGGCCATCGGCGTTAGGCAGGCCAAAGACGATTCTCACCCAGCGACTACTGTGGAGTATATTCAAATTGCATGACCGATCCCTCTAAAAGGAGATTCACGATTCCGCAGACAACGTTGCTAGTTACCTGCACTTCTAGACCTACACGCGCCCTTCTCTAGGTGCTATAATAGAGACTTGGATCGAGGACGGAACATAGTTGCGGTTGATGCTCATACCGGTGACCTGGTCTCGAGGTTGAGCGATGCGGCCGGTCCGACTCACGTTCAACACACCCCAGGAGACTGGACGCCAGAGCAGACAAGAATGCAGTGCGCAACAATAGACCGTGCTACGACCGATCGAAGCGATGTTATTGAAGTCACGAATGAAATCAACAGTGAACTTGTAACCAGTTCTGGTTCAAGCTTGCTTTTCTTGGATTTTCGTGCATGCAAGCTAGGCGAGCAATAATCTGCACAGCACCATCCGGACCATTTTCAGACGCGTGGTCGAAATCAGGCTTCATTCGCTTCGCATCAAACCCTTCCACCCCACTTCGGGTAGGCCCATGCTTGCGAACACCAGTTTCATGAATCAATAATATCATTTCTCTCCTGACAGAATAAATTCAAACCCAGGCAAGACCACAGCCCATCTGTATTTGGCACGTAGGCCCATGTTCGCGAATACCAGCGCCATGAATTAATATTTCTACCCTGATAGAATGAATGCAAACATTCAGGCCGAACCTCAGCCCGTTTGCGTTGGGTATCTTCCTTGTCATTGATGCCGCCAAATCACGTTTCTAAATAACGTTTCCTTTCCTTCGGGCGGAGTTCTCACAACGCCTTTCCCGCGACGGTGACCGAGTGGCGAATCGCCAGGACTCTTCGATACATTGGACACGATCTCTAATATTACTGGCATGGTCCGATCGGTCCCACGTGAGCCCACTCACTCCGAGAAGGTGCATTGGGGAGGTCTCCTAGCAGGAAAATGTTCGACAACCGCAGCAATTTTAATGGAAGTGGTTGTATGTGGAAGAATAGTATTTAATCGACGTTGGTCTAAACACTTTTGGAAGCTTCATCGTCTAGGAACTTTTACGTTTTGAGTGTCGACCAGAACAGATATGCTTCTTCTTCATATACGGTCGCTGGAAGTCCTTTCCACAGCTAGCGCAGACAGTTCTAGACTGTCGCAAGTGAATCTCTTTCATGTGACGAGTGTAGTTATCTTTCTTGACAACACTCGCGCATCCGGGCCACGTACACTTCGCTTTCTCCTCGCCATCCTGTACAACGGGGAAACAAAGCTGTTGGTAGCGTCTGGTTGACTGGCCAGATAGGGTCTGCCACTTAGGGCACGTGTCATCCTGAGATACAAAGTTATGGAATGACTGTGCACCGAGCTGATAATTGACAGAACCGGAGTTGCCGGAGAGTAACGGGTCTATGGCCGCACAGCACACGTGGTAAGCTTTAATGAAAAGGCTACAAATATAGCAAACTTACCTGGGGAAATTTGCGCGATAGAATGATCTACTGTTCCTGGCAGGGTGCTAGTGCTCCCGACAGATTCTTGTGAAAGCGGACCATACTTTTGGTCAGTTGAACGTTGGCCTTGCAAGAGTCGGAATGGGTGAGTCGCGACGGAAAGGTTGGGCGCAGTCGACAACACCGGAAGAACGTCGCACTCGTTGAGTGCCACTGGCGCGATGGCGTGACGTTCATCGCCGAACACTGCTTGGAGGTTGAGGCTACTATCCCATGCGCCAACATTCCGCGCATCTTCTGACTGGCGGCTGGCAAGGATCTCTGCAATGCGGGTGCGGATATACTGGATCTCTTGATAAGCACTGTTAAGCCTTTCACAATGTCGGTCAAGTCCTTCGAGAAGTGGTTGTAGGGATAATCTCAACGAGTCATGATCACTAGGTGCATGTCCTGAAGTACTATGATGCAATAACCGTCTATCGTTGGTCGAGCTTGTGCATTGCCCGAGAATGTCGCGCTGCGAAGACAACATCGATGGAGTGGTTGTTAGCATCGAATCGGACCTGCAAAGGTAATTCATGGTAAATGCTCCGTCCTAAGCTTACGAAGTGAAAAGTAGCCTTACTGATGTATATCTCGTTCTCAATGCTGAATTTTGCTTTTCCAGATGTTGGAGTGTGCGAAAAGTTATAAGAACGCAAGGACTTGCCCACGCGGAAAGCAGGATCGTGCATATCGGCATTTGGATGTCAGCTTTTTATAACTTTCTGCAATATTCCCGAGGATGAAGACAGTTACAGCGCCTCTAACCCAACACTGCCCTTTCAATCAGCCACAGAACTACTAACCCCTGTTCTCTTCTCAAAGGCTATACTTCTCAAAGTGGCTATTGCAGCCGACTGTTGATACCTAAATAGACCCACAAGTTGTAAGTAGTGGTTCAGAAACTCGCCCGTACGAGATCGCGGCAGCCGTGTGGTGCTCTTACAACTTGTAAGTCAGCCTTGTCAGATTGCGCGGATGTCCTGCATCCTAGGGCAGCCACAATGTTGGAAATGAAGCCATACAGTATTAACCGAAACTCCGGCTAGGATCTAAGCAATGGCCCACATAGGTTGTCTGCCAAATGTTATTTTTGAGGACATTCGGATCCCCACAGCGACTGGCACAAATTGTTGCGGCGACTTTGAACCTTCCCTTATGGCGCAGCGCCGAAACCCTGGTGCTGGATCGTATTCCAAATCCTCGACATATCCCAACCTTCGTGATGTTTGCATGCAGAATCTTGAGAACAATGCACAAGGCATGAAATTTCAAACACTAGTATTCCTTGTGGCCAATGTCCAAGGTACACAGTACATACTCAGCAACATTCAACTTGAAGACGGCTGCAACTGCTCAAAATGCATACTAGTACTATCCCTTCTAGTACTACCGCACCCCACAGAAGTCAGCGCTAGTCAGCAGTCACGCTTTTTCGTGTGGCGAAATGTGACTGACGGTGACCAATTGTAACGAAAGTATCACGTTTTCCCGCCAAAATGTGTGACCTGCCGACTTCTGTAGACTGTGAGGTGCCGATTGCACCGGAAGGGAATATAGAGGAGGAACACTTTGACCTGATTGGGATAATTTATTCCGCGATACTCCGAGTCCGGATTTGGAGGAAACAAGGAGAAAAGGATCCTACTTGATCATATTTAGTTTGAACAAAGTTCTTGCCACTGGCACTGGCCATGGAGCCTCCGACGGAAGGATCATCCTGTGTGACCGACCCCTTGGCAATTATAATTCACGGTCTGCGTTTGGTCGGCGTGTTGGTCGCTCTGGCCAGTGCCAGTGGGCCTGGTCGCGGGCTTGGTGGGTTGACTATCGCGCCCCACCCTGGCGTCCGGCTTCCCCCGGGCCCCCCGCCCCGGGTTGGCTCTGACCGTGATGGTCGCCTCTTCTTGGACTTTCGCATATACCGAAGGAAGACTAACTTGCATAACACCCTCAGGACCGTCCATCTCGAGACCAGCCATTACCGATATAACATAACATTTGAATTTTGAACGTGGTCGAGATCATCATTCACTGGCTTTGCATAGAATCTCCGATCCCACTGTGTGTATGCCCATATTCACACAAACGTGGTCGAGACCAGCCTGCACTTGCTTTGCATCAAACCCACTTCAGGTAGGTCCATGTTCGCAAGCAAATACCAATTTCATGATTTCACTCCTCTGATAGAATGGACGCAATCATCCAGACGAAACCATAGCCCGTTTGAATTTTGTATCTTCCCTGTCATCGATGCTGCAAAACCACGTCTCCAAATAACGTCATCTAGCAAGTATTTTTTATGGAATGTAGTGCAGGTGGAAAAAATAATATCTAATCAAAGTTGATCTAAATACCTTTTGGAAGCTTCATCGTCTGGGAAATTCTACGTTTGGAGTGTCGACTAGGACAAGTTATGTTTCTTCTTCATATACGGTCTCTGGAACGCCTTACCGCAACTAGCGCAGACAGCCCTAAACTGTCGCAGATGAATCTCGTTCACATGGCGAGCGTAGTTATCCTTCTTGACCACACTCCAACATCCCGACCACGTGCACTTCACCTTTCCCCTCGTCGTACTGCATGACGGGGAAACACAGTTGTTGGTGGTGGCTGGCTGACTGGGCCAGATAAGGTCTCCCCCTCCTGAGCACGTGCCATCCTGGGGTACGAATTTGTAGAATGGCTGTGCATCGAGGCCACCATTGACGGAATTGGGGGTGGTGGAGAGCAATGAGTCTACCGGTCCACGTTGTAAGCATTTAAATGAAAGGCTGCAAATATAGCAAACTTACCTAGGAAAAATTGGTCGACAGAAGGATCTGCCATCTCTGGCAGGGTGCTAGCGACTTCGACATATTCTTGACAAAGCGGACTGTCCTCTTGGTCCAAGGGCTGGGTATGGAATGCTAACGGCTCAGGTGACAAGAGGGGAAGGTCAAGCGGAATCGACAACCATGGAAAAGCATCGAGTCCATCGAGTGCAACCGGTGCGGCGGTCTGAAGCTTGTTAGGGATAATTCCTTGGAGGTCAACGCCACTATCCCATGAGCCCACATTCCCTATGGCAACTTTTGATTGGCAGCCGGCAAGGATCTCTGCAATATGCGTGCGCATGTCAAGACTTTCCTCGTAAGCACTGTTAAGCCTGTCGCAGTGTCGGTCAAGCAATTCAAGACATGATTGCAGAGTTGATCTCATGGAATTTTGATTGATTGGTGCATGTCTTAAAATGCTATGCTGCAAACATCCATCGTTGGCCGAGCTTGCGCATTGCTCGAGAACGTCGAGCTGCGAAGACAACATTGATGGGGTAGTTGTCAGCGACCTATAAAGACAAATTCATGGTATGCGTTCATTTTCAGTCTACGAGTTGCAAAGTAGCCTTACTGATGGAGATCCATGCTTATTTTCAATGTTGAATTTTTCCCTTCTCCCAGATGTGGAGTACGCAGAAAGCGATATGAATGCAAAGACTGGCTGGATCAGAGGGCAGGATTGACCGCTGGAGTCGAATTTCGTACTTATGGACCCCGGCTTTATAATATCGCGGAGGCCGCTTTTATGAAGCACGCCTATGAAGTAGCGTCTAACACACTACTCCCGGACTGCATCTCCACTTGGCGTCTATAAAACTCTAGTCCCTGATTGTAAACTCCCGGTGAATACCTGCCATTGGCTACCCTCCATCATCTCCCACGAACGTCCCACCTGCTAGTGCTGACAGAACTTCTGGATTCTCTCCACCGGCTTGGCAGAACCGTCTGTGACGGATAAATCATCGCGTTGTTCCGAAATCAGTCTCCAACTGAGATGATCATCCATGCCAGAAATGACACCCAGTTCAATCAACCACGGACTTCTACCACACCGAGGAGTACGATAAGACCTTGCCCGATCTTGTCTCTGGAATAGGTGGGCAAGTTGTATATCGACTACCTCCGACGTGACAAACAAAACGATCTGAACAATGCAAAGTCATTCCAGTGCAACCCCGGTGCGTCATTACATTCCGAGTTGAGTCCAAAGCACATCTTCGGAATTCATGCTAATAATATCCCCTTTCGTGTAGATCAAGCAGATGCGATAACATGTAGCGAGATGCCCCTATAAATATGATGGCGGCAGGCACACCCTCAAACATCCCAACAGGTACAATAAAGACTCTTCAGGGGACAATGACTCACAGCAGCACGAACTACTGCCGATGATAACTTAACATGAACATGCGTAGCTTTCCTGAGAATCCGGGCTTCCCGATGATGTTCGGCATTAGCATGGCGGTGTACCAAGGTCCACAAGCTGTGTCATTGCATCGTCCCGTTATCGCATTCTTTGTTATAAGCTTTGGAAAAGGACAGTGTAGGAAAACTTAATGTTTCCCTTCCAAAAGCAGAGTTGCAGCAGCAAATTGTAGTGGACGAATCTACCAACCATGAGCGATTGACAGCAAAAAACATCATCATGAGGCAAGTTCTTCTAGTGCTTACTTCATTTCCGCTGCCTGTAGCTTTTGGTCTATATGTAATGCATGTCTTGATGTAGTGGAAAGAAAAGGCGACCGCAAGTAGAGAGCACTAGGTTACCAGTGTTGATCGAGTAGGCGAGTTCAACCTGAGATAGCCTGAGATTACTAGATCTCAAAGGTGGTCAGATACTCTCGATGCACCGCTGGGCAGGAGCGTGCAACGAATCTTGGTAGCTGTCACCTCCTTCAATCGATCGTCATTCAATTGATCTGGGCCATCTTTGAAATTTGAGGTCTGATCCCAGGTCGGACTCGGCTACTTGATCAGCACTCCCCCACTTCACTGTTGCTAACTTAAATAAGTTCTAGTAGCACTTTATGAACCCTTGACACTAATATCGCATCCCATGTATATGGTCCTATTTACAAATAGCGCATCACGCGGTCGAGATCGCGACTCCTGTAGTAAGTAAGTTGAGTCAGTCACTGAACTGAAGTCAAAGCTGTATGATCTTTGTTCTGCCTCGAGGGCCCTTATGACATACATGCGCGATTCGCATGCACAATACGTTGCACTTTGGGACAGTCTTCAACTTGTATTCTGGCCATTGTAAGGAGGTGCTTTAAATCATACCAGCGACTCCCGGGGTTCAGTTATCGCTTCTTATGAGTCTTCCATCAAGAGTCTCGGTGCGTATGAGTATACGGTAAGTAAGTTCTGGGCCGATTGCGAGCTACCCCAGCCTACCTCCATCAACCGCAGCAGGTTTTTTTTGCACTCCTGTGACAACGTGTCCGAGCATGCATTGAGCGATGTTCTATGTTCCGATTTCAAACCCCGCCATCTGCCGAACTTCTTCTTGGCAGTTCTTGGCAGTTCTTGGCCTCAGGCTGTGGGAGGCCGCTGAGTGGTCGCTTCTGTTCGATTCTGTTGGTGGAAGACGGTATAGTTGAGTATCTTGGTACACGGCAGAAAGCTTATGACGAGACAATGTCCAACAGTCAATGACCCCAAAAGACCACACTCTGAAGCAAAAAAAAAAAAGTATCTTAGTGCTTTTACTGGCAGTTTGTCAGGTGTGTATCCGAAATTTGAAGCTGCAGCCTGTTCTCGTAGATAATAACCTGACTCGGGTAGCTTGCTTTGCTTTTGCTCGTTATGCTAACTCTTCATCAAAGCCACGTCCAGACAAAGATGATAACTCGTTCTAGCACTTCAGTCAATCAACGGGCCACTTGTAGAAATTCGACAGCCTATCGATTACCTTGTTTACAATATCGGAACATCTGCGCTCAGTGCCGCTGAGGGCTTCTGAGGCCGGTATCATGCTGGCGCACGTGTTTGAAAGGCAAGTTTTAAGTCTGAAAATTTGTTTGTGTTGACCTACAGGAAGGAAACTGCTGGGACGGTAGCACTACGGCGAATTGTTATTTCACAGTTCAATACACGGTCCCGGAAGACGCGCACGGATACTTTCCACTTTGGTATGTTTCCAGCGGCAGACACTTCCGCAGTGCGCCCCAGGAGTCGACCGTGACTCTCGACATGCTGCGCCCCGGAAGCAGTTTTTGGGTCGTGCCTGGCATGATCTGGAGCCGATATCAGTGAATGTACGCGTATTTACGCAAAACCTCTTGGAACGCGAGAAGAATTGAACTTGTTATGATGACGGGTATTCCATCAACGCAATCTAGCCGCCATATGTATAAAGCGCATATTAACACTCATCTTACCAGTAAAGCCTCGCAAGATCCATGTCATGTTGACGCCATGGCCAATTAATTTGTCCCTTCATACAGATGTGCCAACCCCGATCGAAAAAGTGTTGGAAATCAACCCGTCAACGTAGTATAACTTTTTATCTTTTTGTTTTGGACCTACGCCAGCGGACTTACCATATATAGTAATTCCATGTACCATAGATTCGCTACGCTCGTTTCTCTCTTTTCCCCAGTCACTTATACTCGACTGGGGGTAAGTCATAGCTTAGTATACCTAACACACTCCTTACTGATGTACTACGGAACTCACACGAGTTCTTTTTCTTTAGGTACATAATATAGTCTCTTATACTCGACTGGGGAACTCACACGAGTTCTCTTTCTTTAGACGCCTACCGTCTTTTAAAAAGAGCCCGTAGTGTGTCTTCTGCACTGCGGTGTAGATCGAGGTCAATCATCAGTTTTAGGTCCGTGAGCTGTGTGATCACGAAGAGTAGCTGGTCCTCCCCTTGTTCTCGCCGGTATCTACATGCCCTTCCTTCGACATGACTGCTCTATCTACAAGTCCCCAATGGGCACATACACACAGAGCCAATAAAATAATAGGTATTCCCGCATTCTCCATGCCTGAATTTTGTACGATATATATACATAGGTACAGTATGGTGCACGAGTTGCATATCACAATCGTCACTTTGATAGCTTCTATATAACAAACATCCATCCGCACCCTCGCTCCAGTAATATCATTCATACCTCAAAATAAAAATCTTACCATCACTCACACTCAAAATCACAGCGCCCTGGCTCTGATCAATATTGATCGTCTCAACAACATCCAAGTCCAACTCCTCCGGAATCTCGAGCGTGCGTACTACCGCCTCTTCAGTCCGCCCTCGGCGGCCATACACAGGCGGGAAGGTGACGAAGCGCAGACATTTTGGGACCCGCCGCCGTGGGTGTGGGTGCGAGTGGTCGTCCTCGAGATGGGCAAAGTGCGCGTGAAGTTGCGTATCTGGCTCTGCATTTGGTTGAACATCATCTGAGTCGTATGCGTCAGGAGAATTGCTTTTGGCGCGGGCGTGGACATCAAGGTCGGGAGGGACAACAGGGGCAGCACACTCCACCCATACTGCGTGCCCAAAATCAACAGCCACGAGGGGTCGCGGCCGGTCGCCAGTGTCTTCATCGTCGTCTCCTTCTTCGAGCACGCAGACGACTTCAAACGGCGTGCTGACGTACCATAGATGGAGCATATCGTCATCGTTCGCCTGCGTGGAACAAGATGAACTGCTTGTGCTCGCTTTTCCTACAATAGGTAGTGTCTCAGGAGCTATGGGGACCTTGAAGTAATGCTGCGCGAGCACAAAACGCGTGCGGTGTGTCTCAGGATCGTGTGCTGCAAGGAGGACAACCGTGCAGCTCAGCCGCGGGACGCCAGGGAGGGTGGGCCACCATTGCCGCACAAAGTGTGCAGACTCGGGGTACCACGGAGGGAATGGATAAGGGTTTGTAAACGATTCAGATGTTGTCGGAGCGACTGCGCCCTCAGTGGACTGCTGAGGTCCGGGAGTGGTTGGAGTGGTAGATTGAGAAGATGATGCATCTTCGTCATTTTGCGGCGCAGGTTCGGGGTTAGTACTGGGTTCGCTTGAGGAAGAAGTCCCTGCATTGACCTCATCCTCGACCCTTACTTCATCGGCATCCTCGCCACCTTGTGAGCCACTGGGTTCGTCTGCGTTACTATCATTTCCTGATTCTTCATCTTCGAAACGTGCACGCCTTTCGCCTCTCCTCTTCGTAGTCAAAGGCTTCTCTTCTCTACCTTCATGAGCATCTTCAAGTTCTTCATCTTCATCATCCGGTGGCTCATCTTCGTCCACAGGTTCTTCATCATGACTAACAGACTGCTCGTCCTCAGATTGAG